CTTTTTCTAGCTGTTGGAATAGAGAGTCACGCTCCTTGGAGTCCGGAGCTCTCCCGGACCGCCCGAGCAGTCGGCCAGGAGCTGACCGTCTCCGGGACTTTTTCTTCGGGTAGGGCCGCCCCAGTAAGGCAGGCGCGGATGGTTAATAGCACAGGCTGGAGGCCCAAAGGGGATACACGGCCCTCATGTCGCTCTGCAGCTTCTACTCTTTACCAATCAAGTCCAGGTCTGAGGGTCCCAAAGGCTGGCGGTTTCTAGCCATGGTTACAGGGCAGCAACAGTTCCCTGTACTGGGCAAGCGCCCCGTAGGAGATCTTACATTGTCTAGCCTGCAAAAGGACGGCAAGAGCCCATGCCTGCGGGTGCTGCTCTTTGCTAAGCGCGGAGCCCATGATGTGGGCGGGGGCCACTTACCTCCCCGCGTTCCTGCGCAGAGTCCCGTGCAGACGCGCGGCGGGCCCCGAGAGGAAGGGCGCCGGGAGGAGAAAGCCAGAAGACTGCAAAGAGACAAGGCTGGTGGCGTAGGTCTGAGTGTGCTGGTGAAGGGGCGGGCACAGGGCAGTGAGGCGCCTGTGAGGGGCGTCACCTGGGCAGGCGGCGGCCTGCAGGGCGTGTCCACTCGGGGTGCCCAGGGACTTCCAGCCTGGAGCGCACTCTGCAGGCCGCCTCTGCTGAGCTGCTGGCCAGCCATGGCCGCGCACTCCCACAGCTCCATTTCACTCGGATTTAAAGAAAGCAGTTATGGAAAAATGTAATAATCTCTCAGTAACCTATACTCTTACAAGAAGATTTAGTTTAATAGTTTTTGTTCCTTTGTTATGTTTTGTTTCTATTCCAGTTTGGGGAAATATCTTCATATAGCGTGTCAGTTTTATTCACTATTCTCTGAGATGATTCTGAAATATTTCTAAGAAAATACTATCTCCTCTGTGAAAAATTCCTTGGCTAATTTTCTCTTACAATATCTTATGTCATTGGGGCTGGGGATTTAGCTCAGCGGCATAAGCGCCTGCCTTGTAAGCAGGCAGTCATGAGTTCGATCCCCAGTACCGATAAAAAAGAAAAAGACAAAAAAAAAGATTAAAAAAAAAATATCTTATGTCATTGTTTCTCAATTGTTTTAGTGGGGTACCTGTATCAGAATAAACTAAAGGTGTTCTTTTTTAAATGCAGATTTTAGGCTATAGTCTCTGTAATTCTTATGTTGGAATGATACCTAGCTAATGTTTATGCCATATAAAATCTAAAAATTGCCGTCTAGCACTTTGTTCTTGCCATAAACACCTAGGAAATAAATGTTACCCAACGGGCCAATGTAATGTAAGGAGGTGTTTGTCTTAGTTTTTTTCCTATGAATTTTTTTTTAACTGGAACTGTAACTCAGGACCTTGTACCTACCAGGCAGGTACTATGCCACTGAGCTACATTCCTGCCTTCTAAAGAATATTTTCTGTTTTCCTATCAGGTTCTAACTATTTTTAATAGCTACCATCCTACATCCAAAAGAAACCCTCTGGGAAACATTTTGTGGGAAAAACTGACAGTCATACTTTGCAAGTGTCACTGTTGTTTGGACAGTTTAATTCTTGTTAATTCTTGTTAAAAGTAGCATCTGGACAGCTTTCCAAACAGCCACTGCTACTCCAGTTTGTTTTTCAGGACCAGTCGAGTTCCCCAAGGAAGGCTGCATGGGAACTGCCATTTGGGTCACTGTGGGAGGTGGGACTTGTCCCTTTGTTGACCTATAGATATGCGAGGCAGGCAAGGAGCAAGCAGGCCCAGGATGCCTTTGCCAGCTTCCCTCAGCCTGCCGTCTCTTGCCAGCCTTTGATTTGCAATCCTCTGCGTATTTCCACAAGTCCTGTGTGCTATCACCTTCGTAGGTCAAGCCCTTGTTAGTACAAAAGTGCGGTAACTGGGTAACTGTGCTCACCGAGCTGAGTGTGGATGCGTTACTCACATTTGCACTCCCGATTTACTGGGAGAAGCAAGTCCAGAGAAAGACACCAGGACTTTCCCATAGAAGAGGAGGCTACAGTGTCAGCCTCAGACCCTGCATTCCAGCAGCTGACCTCATGTTGTAGGGAACACAAATTCTCTGAACTGCCAAATGATATTTTAGCCTTCTTCTCAGAAGTGATCAAAAAGGAAATAAAAAGCTGGACATGGTGGCATATGCCGGTAATCCCAGCACTCGGAAGGCTGAGGCAGGAGGATTGTGGCGAGTCTGAGACCAGGCTGTGCTCCAAAGTGAGAGCAAAGCTAGCCTGAAGTACATAGCAAGACCCTCTCTCAAAAAGAAAAAAAAAAAAAAAAAAGGAAATAAAACTTGTGAGGCTGAGAAGATCTGATTATAAATATGTCAAAGTGGTATAGCTCATCTAAATCATGGTGGAACTAAAAGAGGTATCAAGCTACAATTAAAGATTGATTGACTTTTCCAGTTGTATTTATGGAAATGTGCAGCTTGTGCTTAGATTGGAACATGATGATGCAAATATTTTAGGAGAGAAGATGCAGGAGAAAACACCCAGCCATTCACTCGTCCGTCATCATTCACAGGTGACTGACCTGAGTCAGCTGAGTCTCGGTAACTCAGGCGGATCCACTGAATCATCCCATTGCACAGCTTAACAGCTGGGTGTACTTGCTACTTGGTGACTGCTGCTTGAGTCGTACAATATGCTCTCCCTTTTCTTTGTCAACTTCGGGAGTGCCAGCCCCGTCCCAGGGTCGTAAATGCCTGGGTACCACCAAGCTGGCCTTGGCACTGTCACACGCCCCTGCCCATGTAAGTGCCCAGCACTGTGCTTTCTGAGCTATGTCTGTGTCTCACAATCTCTGTATCTTCCCTTATCATCAGCTGTTACTTGCCGCTGTCTTATGTGCCAGCCTCCTGCACTAGGTCCTTCATTTGCCGCTTCTGACCTGCTGCGGACTGAAACCCCAGACTGCCACGCTTGCTAGAATTGTGTCTAAAGGAAGAGTAAGTAATTGGAACAGGCTGAGGGCTTTCCCAGCAGTGAAATGCATGCACTGTGAGATGCCTGTGTGGCTGGCATTCTTTTGCTTGCCTTAAAAACATGCTAAAGATACTTGCTGGAATGTGTGACTGCCGTGTATTTGACTGACTAATCAGTTTTGATGCACTGATGACTCTCATGTATTCAACTGTAAAAGGAAATGCGATTGCTTTTATGTAAATCATTGTGTATATTGCAGGAGAGTGTTAAATATTTTGTTCTTGTTCATTCATGCTTAGTTCAACACATCAGTTTATGGGATTATTAATGTGACGTCAACTCTGCTCACCAAGCCTTATATTCTAAAGCTATTGGTTTGAATATACTGGTTTAAATGTGACTGATTTAGGAAGAACAGGCTGACCTGACTATGTGTGAGGGATACACAGGGTATCATCAGCAGTGATCGTCCCGGGTGACCGTTTTCTACTGAGCAAGAGCCGCTTTCAGCGTCAGCATTTTTTTTGGAATAACTTCAGAAGTCTTTACAAAAGCCATGTGCACTACCGTCGTCTTGAGGGATTATCAAAGGCACTTTAATATTTTATATCAAAATGACCATTATCAACAGTAGCGATTATACTCTGGCAGATAAACACCAAGAATCATTTCTCCCTGAACTAAACATCTGCATTGGCTGTGCCTGTTTGAGTTCTCAAGTTGTCATTGTGACTCCTCCCTAGATGTCCTGCTTACTCAAGTGTGCCTGTGATGGTAGCCTTTCTCCACTTTCCTTTCCTTTGGTGGTTTTTTTTTTTAAACAGGATCTCATTATGTAGCCCAGGTTGGCCTTGAATTTACACCAATCCTCCTGCCTCAGCCTCCTCAGTGCTGGAATTACAGGCATCTGCCACCGTCTCCACTGTCTTAAATGCACCTTCTGATCTGCTTTGGTTTTGAACAGCAGATGACAAAGCTAGTTAGAACTATGTGCAAACTAAGAGTAAACAGACACAGCGAGACCGGAAGTGGATTGTGCACAAAGAATGGGTTTTTATGACATGTTAGTCACTGCCTGTTAAGTTGGTGTCTTTAATCCAGTGAAGTCCCTGGACTCAGTGCTTGTTCTAAAAATGCAAGAGTTGTTGAATGGTGCAATGTCCATTTTTCATTCTTTCTCTGAAGTTAGTTCTCACTGTAATCTGTCGGCTGTGATTAAAACCAGTCCATTCAAGTTAGCATTTTCTAGAGTATTTTCTATTTGGATTGGAAAGCACATGTTGTTAAGATGTATTTGGCTGTTTTTTTCTTAAGACAAAGGTAGCTTAATTTCCAACATACAAAGTAGATTAAGTCCTGAAAAAGAAGATGACATTTAGTATTAATATCACAGAAATATGCAATTAAGATTGTAGACTCTAAGAAATTATACCAAAAAGAATTTATTCTTTGATATGGTCCTTCTTCAAGTAGTGTCTGTCTGTCATTTTTTTTTTTTTTTTGAGACAAGATCTTGCTGTGTAATTCACGTTGGCCTTGAGTTCACTATGTAGCCCAGGCTGACCTCAGTCTCACTCACAGTGATCCTCCTGCCTCAACCTCTTGAGTGCTAGAGTTACAGAGATGTGCCACCACATCCAACTAGTATCTTTCTTTTGATTCAGCTAAAGAAACTGTATGTTAAAAAGAAAACATGTTGGGGGCTGGAGATTTAGCTCAGCGGCATAAGCGCCTGCCTTGCAAGCAGGCAGTCATGAGTTCGATCCCTGGTACCGATAAAAAGGAAAAAGACAAAAAAAAAAAAAAAAAAAAAAAGAAAACATGTTAAAAGCTTATCAAAATTTGATTAAATTGAATGATTAAATTTCCCTTATCATTCTATATTTGGTGTGTATAAATTATCATTTAATATATGAAAGAAGCAGATGATTTTTTTTTTTCTTCTTTCACTTTGTTCTGATTTTTTTTTTTTTTTTTTTTTTTTGTCTTTTTCCTTTTTATCAGTACCGGGGATCGAACTCACGATTGCCTGCTTGCAAAGCAGGCGTTTATGCTGCTGAGCTAAATCCCCAGCTCCTTCTGTTTTGATTTTTGAGACAGGGCCTCGATATGCAGTTCAGGCTGGCCTTGAACTCACTATGTAACCTAGACTGGCCTTGAACTTGAGGTAATCCTCCTGCGTCAGTCTCCCAAGTGCTGGGATTACTAGCTTGTGTCACCAAGCCCTGCTAATTTTTCTCTCTTGAATGAAAAAATAAAACATGAAATTTGCATATGAATTTTGAATCTGCCTAAAAATAGATATCCTAGCATCAGGCAGTGTTTCCACCAATTTATCAGCTACAGACTGCTCCTGCCTCTGTCGCATACAGTGACTGGCAAATCGGCCTGTTTCTCTTATGTCCATGCCTCCTGGACTCAGCCTTCAGTTACAGTGGAAGCGAATTTGCATAGAGATATCATACAGTAGTGGATGATCCAGACCAGTTTGTTTTTGGTTTTTTGAGACAGGGTCTCACCATGTATTTCAGGACATCCCTGAACTCACTCTGTGGTCCAGGCTGAGCTCCAACTCACATTTAATTCTCCTGTCTCAGCCTCCTGGGTACTAAGATGCCAGGCATGCACCACCACGCCTGGCTCAGTTTCTTGAGGCTACCATTACAGAAGAAATAGTCATGAGGCTAAGCCTGGCTTGGTGGAACCAGGAGACAGCTTCTCTTGGATATAATCACGAGAGGAAAGTAATCCTACTCAAGGGTCATCGCTAGAAACCAAAAGTGGATGAGCTGATCCCAGGAGCACAGGTACATACACTCAGCAGGAGCCCAGAAGGTGCGCGTGGCTTCACTCGTCTCTTCCAGTGTGTGATCAGTTAAAATGCACATGCTTACCTTTAGCTGCTCTGCATGTTAATCTAGCTCAGCCTATCAACAAACTGGTTTTATCTGTACTTCCAAAATTCACTTGGCAACATGTTATTGTAATAGAATAGAATTCAAACTATAGATACTTCTAACTACATGCTCTTTAAAAATTAGTATAGATATGCTCGTAGAAATATTTCCTCTCAGATTTCTGTATTAAGAGTTTCTTAAAGTAGGGGATAATTCACTACTTTATGCTATGTCTCATTTTGCCAGATGTGGTGTACGCCTTAGCAAGGAGGCTGAGGCAGGAGGATTGCCATGAGTTCACGGCCAGCCTATATGACATAGTGAGATCCTGTCTAAAAAAAAAAAAAAATTCTTGTTTACGTTTATGTTTCCTGAGCTGAGCTTTACTAAAGCGTGTCTTCTCTGAATTTACCCTTTTGTGATATCCTAAACAATGACATATCCTTTGCTGTCCTTCCTGGCTAAATCATAAGGAAATGAACTGCATTTCCAGTCAAAGTGCGTCCTGCAACCTTCACACCGCTCTGTTCCCACTGCCCCTTGGCTGGCTCCTCCACAGCGGTCGTCCTGCCCCTGGGCAACCTGGAGCCGCATAGGGGTGCAGAGCCCAGAAGCCACCTGAGCTGCAGCGCTCCCAAGGAGTTTGGTTCTGTTTGGGTTTGTTCTAGGTATGGTCCCAGGGATCCCAGATCCAACCAGGCCCCTGGGCCTATCCTAGAACCAACCTAAGCCCGTGCATCACTCCTGACGCCCAGGAGCTCCCGGACGGACAGAAGACGCCGAGCAGACAGACTGCTGTCTCCTAGGGCTCCCGCTGCCCCAGCCTCCTCAGTCAGAGTGGCACCCCTACTGACTACAATCGTCTCCCAGCTGAGCTCCAGCACAGAAATTCTGCATGTTAAGTGCTTGTGATCAGGTGATAAAATAGATTAAAATGTGTTTTTAGCAGAAGCAACTTAGCCAGAAAGACAACGTCAAGCCCTGCCCCTAAAAACTCTTCCCCCAAATTGCAGGGCTTTGTTCTCTTACACACTTTGCACTCTAGGGCTCCCAGGGGCAAGGGATGCAAGGTCTCCTTCCCAGTTCCAAGCCTGGCTTCAGGCTCACTGAAGGTCCTGCTTTGCTGATGAAAACGAGCGGCCACGGAGCGAGGGCGGGTTGGGGCATTAACCTGTTGTGCCGCTGCGTCGCTTGCACGGAGGAGAAATGTGCCAAGCGCATTTTCCTTCTGCTGCTCTGGGTGGTAAAATACTCAAGTTCATCCTGGCCTCCTCCCAGGGCAGTGCTGCCGCCGCCACTGGTTTCTCTGGTAATTTAGAAGACAGGAGTTCTAAAAGAGCTCGAAAGGGAGCCTGAAAGTGGATACTCCAGGTGATGGTGAGGGTGCAGCAGCCGAGCAGGCTGGGGTCACAGCAGGTGAGTCAGGGTGAGTCAGGCCCCCCACAGGGTGGGAAGGCCAGGAGCCAGAGCCCCTGGGGCATGGCTCAGGCAGCAGTCACCTTTGCACAGTGCATCCCACTGCCCTGTATTTTTTGCTCAGTGTCTCACTACTTAGCTTTGGCTGGCCTGGAACCTGTGACAGTCCTCCCAAGAGCTGGGATTACAAGCATGCGCCCCATGTTCAGCCCGGCTGCAATCTGTTAACATGTTTAACTATGAACACAGAGCATGAGACTGTGCTATTTGAAAAGTTAGGCTTGTTTATAAAGTCTGCCTTTACTCGGGCATGGTGGCACATGCCTGTATTCCCAGCATTGGGGAGGCTGGGGCTGGAAGATCCCCATGAGTTCGATGTCAGCCTGGGCTACACAGTGAGACCCTACAAGGAAGGAAGGAAGGAAGGGAGGGAGGGAAGGAGAAAGGGAGGAAGAAAGGAGACACACACAGACAGACAGGTTGCCTTCAGGCCTGGGGTAGAGCACTCGCCTACTGTACACAAGTCCCTGGGTTTCATCCACATCACCATGAAAAAATTAGTACAATTATACACAAACACACACATATAGAGAACTTGAGAATATTCTTTCAAAGATGTTTTGTTTTTACTTTTTGATCACTTGTTTTTATATTAGAACTATATATTTCCTAACTGTACCTAAAGGCGTGAGGTTATAATCTAGGAATTGTAAAAGCACCATAAAAGTTACCATCTCGAGTATTTAAGTGTACAGTTTAAAAGTTTAAATATTCATGTTCGCATTGTAGTGAAATCTCTGCAGCTTTTTCACTGTGTCTCTCTGAAGCTCAGGACCAGCGGACACCCAGTCCTCTCTCCTGTCCCCAGGCCCGCAGCTGCCCTGCGCCTCTGGCATGTGCTTCCGTCCATCTCGCCGTCAGGTGTGGCAGGGTCCCCTGCTTTTCTGCAGGGATGCTCCGCCCAAGGGGTGTGTCCCTCAGTCTGCCCTCTCTTGGAAGCATCTGGGTGGCCCCTGCCTCTGAGGTCTTATCTGTGAGGATGTGATGTGCAGATACTTTTAAAAAAGCAGGACTGAATCATTGTCTCTGTATTTTATCACATCGATCTTTGGCCAGCTATTCTGGGAGATTACCAGGCCGCCAGCTGTGGGTTGTGTGTGGCTGTACTGTCTCACTGTCCCTTCTGGGCTAAGAAGTCATTAATAAAAGCTGCATTCCTCGGAGGTTTTGTGTGTGTTCCTTTCCCCCTGCTGCTTGCAATATGATTATCAGCAAAAAGGGAAACCCCTTTCCTCTTTCTCCTGGTTTTCCCATTATGGTCATTCTCATATTTGGGGCAGGGCTCCAGGGGTGTAGCAAACCTGGAACCCCAGCCCTCGGGAGGCCAGGCAGAGAAAGGTTGCTGTGAGTTTGAGGCCAGCCTGAGCTTCCTGGTGATACCCAGACTCAAAAATAAAAGCAAAACTGTGAAGAAAGATGGCAGCTGCCTGAACACCTTTCTGTCATCAGCCCAGCCTCTGCTCTCTCCTGTGCTCAGGTAACTTCTCGGTGTGAAACCTGTTAGGGCTTGCTCCGCACCCATCCTGCTGAAGAGAGTCTACAACAGGTCCTGGCCCAGGGGAGCGCCCCACAGAAAGCCCTGCGGCCACAGGAGGGTGCTCGGCCCAGCAGGTCCACTTCCGCCTGCCTCTTGCTCCTGGGAGCAGCTGGCACCCAGCAGAGCACCTGGACTAAGTCCTGGCCAAAGGGAAGGCCACCCCTTTGCAGAAAAGATCTGATGCTGGACGTAAATATCCAGAAGGGCACATTGCAAAACTTGGCCCTCAAGGACATTTTCTTACTACAGTGAAAGCTAGGTGCGGGGTGCAGCACTCGGGAGGCAGAAGGAGGAGGATCGCCGCAAGTTTGAGGTCAGCCTGGGCTACAGAGTGAGTCAAAAAACAAAACAAAACAGAAACAAGTGAGTAAAAGTAAAGAGAGAAGGCAGGCCATGTGCAGCGTCCATACCGAATTCTGAAGTCCCTTGGGAGGAAGTAGCCCATGAGGTAATCGTTTCTCGTCTTCATGATTTGCTTTTGAAGATCTCTAGCAGATGTACTGTAGCCATTGAAAATAAAGTTGGCAAATAGTAATTTGCCTCGGATGTACATCTGTAAAAAGTTAAAACATTTTCAGAATCTGATCATAAAGAGTAGTCCTATAAATTCAAAGAAAGGTATTTGGGTGGTACCCACAGGCAACGCTCACAGGTATGCACACCCAGTACTCATCCTGCGTAGCCCTGGGGCCCAATATGTTGTCTGAAAACAAGGAAACAGGCTTACTAGTTTGCTTACTAGCCAAGTGCTGGGAGGCTGAAGCAGGAGGATCTCTGTGGGTTCGAGACCAGCCTGGGCTCCATAAAAGTTCAAAACCAGCCTACGCTACATGCTGAGACCCTGTCTCAAAAAAGCAAAAAAAGTGTTCTCATTCAGCACAATCAATATCATAATTCTAAAGATACCGGCCTGTGTTCTTACTCATGATAAGCTGCCTGCACACATTTCACAGCTACGCTGGAGGAAACAAAACGGAACCTTTGACCTTGGAAACCAGAAGACTTGAATTCTAAAAGCACTTCTCCAAAAGTCAGATGACTTATTTAATCATACTGAGGCAGTTTCTTCTTTAATAAAAAAACATCAGTTAGGATTTGTGGGGGGTGTGGTGGTACCGACCTGAAATCCCAGCACTCTGGAAGGCTGGGGCAGGAGAATTTCAAGTTCAAGTCCAGCCTGGGCAAATCAGCAACTTAGTGAGACCCTGGCTCAAAGTACAGAGGGTTAGAGGTGTAGAGCTCAGTACAAAGACCCTGGGTTCAAGGCCCAGCAGTGCGAGCAGGGAGGGAGCGGGGTGTGTGCAGCAGGGGGCTCTGGAGGCATCTGGGGTACGAGGAGACAGACTGGGATGAAACAGCTGGCACTGGTGGCACTTGGGACTGGCGAGGACACAGCTAGCATCGTGGAATCCCTGAGCGGCCTCCCTGAGTTCCCCTTACTCTCTCTTCCTGTCTAGAAAGGCTGGGCAGGCTCAGGGTTTTCTCCATGAGAACAGGATTCTCCTGTTCACCTCCATTTCTGCAATGAGAGAACCTATTGCTTCTAACCCCACTGGCCCAGCCAGTGCAGGCTGAAAAGTTCTACATGGTTCCTTGACCTCAGTCCCGTCCCTTGGTGGCTTTATTCTTTTGCACCCGTACCCATTTATCTTGCTTGAATTTAGTATATAAAACTGGTACATTTTTAAAAACCTTGCCAGGTGTAATGTGCAGACTTGCAATCCCAGCACTCAGGAGGCTGAGGCAGGAGCATCTCAGTGAGTTCAAGGTCAGCCTAGACTGTCTAGCCAGATGCTGTCTCCAAGATGGATGGATGGATGGATGGATGGATGGATAGATCCTAACGGATTACTCCAAAATGGTGATGTAAAGATGAGGTCTAGCCAGTGTTCTCCTCACTCTAAATGTGAAATGTTTGTATAGTGGAAGAAAAATATAATTTTAAAAGCTGAAAGCTTGACAGGTATGATGGAGTGAGTGGGCCAGTAATCCCAGCCTCAGGAGGCTGAGGCAGGATTGCTCAAGTTTGAGGCCAGCCTGAGCTACAAAGTGAGCCTACAACAGCCTCCTGAGGGCCTTAATTGCTCCGCAAGACCCTGTCTCAAGGAAAAAAAAAATACAACAAAATGGAGAGTTGGGTGTGGTAGTGCACGCCTGGAATCTCAGCTACTGGGGAGGCTGAGGCAGGAGGACTGCAAGTGCAAGGCCACCCTGGGCAATTCAGCAGTCCCTGTCTCAAAGTGAGTCAGGGCTGTCGCTGGGTGGCTGTGAGGCCCTGGGTTCCAGCGGCTTGACAGTCTCACCTCAGAGGACACCTTCCTTCCACTCGGTATGTGACCAAGCTGTGACTTCCTGAGTGCCGGCACCGCGGGGTGATGGGCAGGGCTGCAGTGTTGTGGGTTTGAAAAATAACACGACCGTGACACCGAGCACCGTGAGACGGGAAACAGAAGCTTCCCTGACTCTGGTCAGATCCGGTATCAAAATCCTTTCTTTTTTTAAGACTCACTGCGTAGCACAGACTGGCCTTGAATCTGCAGCGATCCTCCTGCCCAGCCTCCGAGTTCTGGGACTCCAGGTGTGCACCACCATCCCCACTACATTTTTTTCTTGACGATGCGTTGAGTGAGATTCCGCTGAACTTCACGCATCCGAGTAGAGGCTGGAATGCGCCTCAGCGTGTGCTTAGCACTCAGGGTTCAATCCCTGGCACCCCAAAACAAAACAAAAACCCAAGCAGTCTAATCCAGAGGGTCCGTCTGAGCTTTTCAACAGCCAAGAGCCCCAGGTACTATTTTCACTATAGCCTTTATGCTTTGAAGTAGCTTTTTGTTTTTGGTTTTTGAGACAGGTTCTCACTACGCAACCCAGGCTAGCCTTGAACTCCTCGGCCTGCATCGGCCTGCGGAGTGGCAGAGATCATAGATGTGGCCACCACGCCTGGCTTCTGACCTGCTTTCTTACACTGAGAGTCCAGCCTGACTGAGGCTCACTCTGGGCAGCGCTTTGGGCTCAGGAAATGCAGGAGGTACCCTCAACAAGGCTCCTCCATCACTTTCAGGGAGTTGGAAAGAATGGAACAAAAACAGCCCCAGGCAACCCTGAGGGGCCCCTGAAGTGGGTCCTCCCTCCTGGGGAGGGGACCGGCCTGGTAGCCTCGGTCACTCCAGGTCACACAGAGTGGGAACTGCAGTCTGTGCTCGCCCCCACAGGTCTAGGGCAGTGCAGAGCTGTGAGCTGGCCAACTGTTCCTTCACTTTGGTTTTGTGTTTGAGACAGGCTCTTTAGACAAAGTCAGGGCAGGCATTACATGGGCCATCCTCCGGCCTCAGCCTCCCTCAAGCTGGGGTCACAGGTGCGTAGGCCACCCTGACTGCTCATTGATCCTCGGACACCTAAGAAGCTGGCCAGGTGGGCCCCCTGCGCCCCTGCCCCTCTCCCAGAGGTCAGTGCAGAGGGAACAGCCGGACACCAGAGTGCCATGCTGACCGGGCCCTGTAGGCCCTTAATGCCATGCTCCCAGTACTGGGACGGCCCCCTCCTCAGCTCTGCTCAGGAATCAAACTCCTCAGGGAGCCCCGACCATGGCTCTGTCCCCCAAACTAGGAGCTCCTGGGCAGCAGGGCCATCGCTTGCTGAGTGGCTAACTGATAGACCATGTCTTCACTCTCAATGCCATGTTGGTACAAAACAGTCAACAAACAGACACAGAACTACAAAACTGGAGGAGAGGAAAGACCATTCCAGTGCCTGTGATGTGCTGGGCACAGAAACAAACCTGACCACTATTTTTTTTTTTTTTTTTTTTGTCTTTTTTCTTTTTATCGGTACCAGGGATCGAACTCACGACTGCCTGCTTGCAAGGCAGGCACTTATGCCGCTGAGCTAAATCCCCAGCCCCTAACCTGACCACTATTGCCTCACTGGACTTTTTTTCCATTACTGGGGATTCAACCCAGATGCTGAGCTCCAGCCTCTGACCTTCTATTTTATTTTGTGACAGGATCTCACCTGCTTCATCCTGCCTCAGCCTCCCAAGCAGCAGGGACTACCGCCACGCACCTTCATGCCTGGCTCGTGAACATTTACAGCTATTTTGTAAGTTAGTTCGATTTCCCTCTTTTGTAAGGGAGCAAACAGGCTCAGAGAGGCTTAGTAACTCCCCGAGGTCACACAGCAAGTGAGCAGAACTGAGTGTGGATGTGGCTCCATTTGCAAAGTTCTTTCCCTGCCCCACCAAAGTGTCTTGCCAGAGGCTTAGGTCTCCCTGCGCTTTAACCACCCACAGCTACTCCCTAGTGCTAGGGATACATTTTTCTAAGGTAAGCACTAACTTTCAGTATTTACAGTTACCTCCAAACTGTAAAGTGGGTCATTTGTTACCTCAGCTTTAAGAGTATCCAATGTTTTGTTTGGTTGATGGGTTTTAGTTTTTTGGGGTTTTTTTTTTTTTTTTATGGTGTTGGTTTGGTTTGTTTTTTTTTTTTGAGACGGGGTCTCACTGTGTAGCCTGGCCTCAAACATGCAGTGATCCTTCTGCCTCAGCCTCCTGAGTGCTAGAATTTCAGGTATGTGCCAGCACCTGCGAAATCTGATCTCCAGCCTCCCTAGAGAAACAGTGACAGGAGCCCAGGAAGCCCAGCGGTCAGCCAGAGAATAGGCAGTGCCCTGCCACAGGCTGTGCTAGGCTAGAACCGCTCTGCGATGCCTGGTACCTGCTCCACTGCCAGGCCCGGTCTCAGGCCACACAGCGGCTAAGGCCTCATCCCGGTCCCGTCCCATCCCTTCCCCGGCAGACCTCATACCAGGAAAATCCCCGGGACAACGCTGTGCCTCCGAACCAGGAGCGGACAGTCACTGCCCATCAGCTTCGCCGCAGACGTGAGGTTGTATGTGAGCAGGCGGAAGGTGTCCAGGTGGCTCTGAAAGATAAAACGAGTCCTAAGTGTCTTTAAGGCCCGGCGAGCCAGGTGTTGGGTGCATGCCTGCACTCCCCGAAATCCGGAGACTGAGGCAGCATGATTGCAAGTTCTAGTCCAGCCTGGGCAATCTGGTGACCCTGTTTTCAAGATAATTAACTAATTAAAAAAATAATGCCACAGGATAAATCAGGGCTGGGGATTTAGCTCAGCAGCATAAGTGCCTGCCTTGCAAGCTCGCGGTCATGAGTTCAATCCCCAGTACCCATAAAAAAATAATAATAATGCCACAGGATAAATTATTTGCTCCATTCAGCAGTGTCCTAGAATGCAAAATTCTAACTGTGTCCCTACTGCATTAGAGATGCCATAGGAGCCTTGCCAATGACCTCCGTGTTGCCAAGGCTGTGACATTTTCATGTTTCTCCACAAAATGTATTTTTTTGTTTTTTTTGGGAGGGTCTCACTATGTAGTTCAGAGTGGCCGTGAACTCAGTTTGCAGCCCAAGGTGGTTTCAAACTCAAGGCAATGTCTCTGCCTCTGCCTCCTGACAAAACATATGCAGTCTTTGTTTTTTAAGATAAGGTTTTGCTTTGAATTCAGGCTGGCCTTTAAGTCACTGGATAGCCCTACTGTACAGTAATTTATACTAGGGCAAGAACCTTTGAAGCCCAGGTTGGCCACAAACTTGCGGTGACCTTCCTGACTCGGCCTTCCGAGGGATAGGATTACAGCTGTGTGCCACCACCCAGGCCTCCCGCAGGTTCTCTTCCGGATTGATGTGCTGAGGCCCCGCCCACTGCACCGCCGAGCGATGGGACTGTGCTCCAGATGCCTGGGATCATGTCTAGCCCGTGACAGGCTGCGCTCACGGGCGCACTGTGAAATTTTTGAAGCCAGGTGTTGGGAATAGTTTTCATTTCACCGCTTGGAGGTTTTCTTCTTCAATCAGACGTTGTGTTGTGAGGAAACTTAAGGGACTAGTGGACAAACCCGCCTCAGGACAGACACCCTGCCGGGTGGGGCTGCGCACCTGAAATCTTTCAGCGCGGCCCCTCGCGCGGGGCCCTGTACCTCCCCACACACTGCCTGAGCTCTCGCGAGACCTCAGCCCCGGCCACGCCCTCTGCCTCTCAGGGGGTGCACACTGCCATCCCTGCTACTAGGCCCCAGCCCCAGCAGGGGACATTGCTCGCCCCTCGCCGCCCACTGGGCAGCTTCTGCACGCAGAGCTGCACCACCCTGACCTTCAGGACGAGGCTGAAGCCAAAGAAACCTCCAGTCGCCATGCTGGTCGCCTTAGGCCGCGTTGGGTCAACTAGCACAGGGGACGCTGGAAGCCTCGGGCGCAGAGGCCCGGGACAGGGAGTCTCCAGAACCAAGTATGCAGCCCGGAAGTCTCTGGGCCGGAAGTCCACAGCCAATGTCTGCCAGTGGAGCGCACTTCCGTTGCTCTTACCCAGCTATGGGACAACTGATCGCCCTTTTGCCCAAGGACCGCCTCCGAGTCAGAAGCAAGTGGGCCAGCTGTCTGTCCTGTGGAGGATATCTAGACTACAGCAGGATCTCAAAACGGCCACTCCCTAAACACAGATGACCCCATGGAAAACTGGGCCAGTCACCAGGCGTAATGAAGCATGCTTCTAATTCCAGCACTCAGGAGGATTGTTGGGAGTTCGAGACCAGCCTGGCTACAAAGTGAGCTCAAGGCCAGCCTACACTATATATCGAGACCCTGTCTCAAAAAGACAGAAAGAAAGAAAAAAAAAAGAAAGAAAACTGGACAAATGAATGGAATGGACAGTTCATAAAAGAAGTAGATAAAAGAAGTACATGAAAAGTATATAGAGAAATACTCAACATCATTAGCTCTCGGAATCAAATCAAAACAACTGAGATTCCACCTCTCCTCAGTCAGAATGGCTGTCACTGTCAAAAGCACAAAAAATAATGAATAATTGGGGGCAGGGGCCTCCTACATTGTTGGTGGGAATGCAAACTAGTATGTCCACTATTGGAATCAACCTGGAGATTCTGAGAAAAAAAAAGAAAGGAAGAAATTCCATTCAAGCAGCTATATCCTTCATGGGCACATTCCCAAAAGAATTAATGACACTGCACTTTTGGGATACATAGCACTGTCAGTGTTGATAACAGCACGATTCATAATGGTTAAACTCTGGAAGCAGCCAAGATGCCTGTCAACAGATAAATGCCTAAGGGAAATATGGCACACAGATATGATGGAATATTACACAGTCATCAAGAGGAATAAAATCCTGCCCCCTGCAGAAAAATAGATGGCACTCAAAACCATCATGCTAAACAAAATAAGGCAGACTCAAAAAGCTTGACTATCATATGCTTTGTCTTATAAGAGAAACCTGAAATATAAATAAACTAATGACTACAGTAAGGAAGCAATGATAAACTAGAAGAAAGACTCCTGGGAACATGAAGAGGACCAAGGAGTAGAAAAGAGAGGAGAAGGGATTTAAAATGAGCAACAGCTGCATGTCCCAGTCTGGCAAAAGGACATTCTGTAACATATGCATGCAATTATTTAAAATAAGATAAAGAGCCGGGGATATAGCTCAGCATCGTAGTGTCTGCCTGGCAAGCACAAGGTCTTAAGTCTGATTACCAACACACACACACACACACACACACACACACACACACACACACACACACACACACACAAAGATAAAAAATAAAAAGAGCTGGATATAGCTCCATCCCAAAAGATTCCTGTGTTTGATCCCCTGCAACTGATCCCCCCTCAAAAAAAAAAAAAAAAAAAAAGGCATGAGTCCCAGAGGACCTGACCTGGACCTCAGCCCACCACTTCCTAGCTGTGTAATGTGACTCAGCTGCCCCATGTCTGTCACTGGCCTGTGTACAGTGGAATCACATCTAGTAACAGCTGGTTATGGTTCTTCTGAGGACTAAATGGTGCTCCATGCCAATGGTGGCCACTGTGTGATTAGTGCTTGTAAAGGTCTGCTCTCTTGATCCCCTTACCTTGCACTTCTGCTCAGTTCAGCAAGCATTTGCTGAACTTCTCAGGTGCCAAGCAAGTGTGTGGTTTCCATAAATAAGATTTTCCACCTGGGAACTGGCGATGTCAACTTGATCCAGGATTGCCTGGCGCCACCTAGTGGCACCAATGCTGCTGGCATTGCTGCATTTTGCCAGTTCATGATTTCCATCCAGATGGAGCAAAAGGACCCACAACAGCTCCAGGCATTTAGAGGTTGGAAAGCAGAGGCCAACACAGTCCACTCATATGTGAAAGTGTGCAGTTAACACTGTAGGGAGCAAGGCCACAGCAGGAAAACCAGCTAGAGAGGGTGGTGAGGAAACTGAGGGAGGCAACAAAGGCCTCAGTAAGTAGAGCAGTGGGACTAAGAAGGGATCAGGGAAAGAGATGCAAGAATAAAATCAATAATTATCACAGATCAGCACTTACAAGGCTGAGGCAGGAGAACTGCTTGCTGTGAGTTCTAGGCTACCCTGGGCTTGGTAGTAGGCTCAAGGCCAACTTGAACACATAGTGAGAACCTTTCTCAAAAAAAATTAGCATGAATACATTTACCAAGGTTGGCTGGTAGTAGCTGCTTGGAGTGCAACCAGAGAAAGGAGTTCAGGACCTGTCTAGGCTCAGATGGAAATAATAATGGATGAACAGTATCTGCTATAGACAGAATGGGAGATATTGGCACAGGATTGGCATTTACCATATCCAATCTCTGGCAGAATAAAAACGTTTCAGTGTGTCTCAGAAGCTACGTGTTGTGTGCTCTGGGAGGCTAGGCAGGAGGACTGCAAGTTCCAACCCAGCCTGGGCAATTTAGCCACTTAGGGAGATCCTGTCTCAAGATAAAATATACTAGGGCCAGGGATCTATAAGTGTCTGCCTGGCAAGTGCAAGGTTCTGAGTTCAATTCCTGGTCCCTCCAACCAAAAAAGATAAAATATATCAAAGGACTGAGTGTTGAGCACCAGGTTGTGGAACAGTTAGATCATGAGGGGATTTCTCATTTGGAAAAGTTCATTTTCATGCCTCTGAAAGCAAGATAAGACTGCAGCTGCAGGGGCTGACACTCCCTTTTGCAAAGCAATAAACTGCTAACCTTACAGATCAAACAGCTATCCTAATTAACAAGATTTACTGCCCAGAATGTCTTTGTTCTAACTTCTCAGGGCCTGCTCCGTTTCTCAGGCTTTTGCCCGAAATATGTCCTCCACTTCCTGCACATCTCCGCAAACGGTTGAGGATCCAATAAATACGGGCAACCCAGTGAAGTCCTTGTCTTAGCTCCAACAAAGTTCTGACTTCATGCGCCCCCCACAGGCCACATTTGCAGTGTCTTTATTTAATCCTTTCCTGTATGTATCTCTAAGACCTGGAACCTGATCCGCCTCCAGTAATTGGCACCCAAACATAAGGGTTGCTAATTTTACAAAACTTGGGAAGGGTAAGTTTTGCCTTGATTGGAGAAGTCACAGAGCCAGAAGGAGAACTTCGTGAGAAGTACAACAGAGACCTCTGTGAGGGGACAAGGAAGGAAAGGTAAAAGCGTTCACTGCCATGGATAGGCATTTGCTACCCAGGAATAAAACATGGGGGGAAACACATTATAACACTCAGGGGCTCACAGGTGAACACAACTCAGAAAAAATCCTAAGCAGGCACATAATAGAGGAAAAACAGTTTCCCCTGAGATCTCTTCAACTTGGAAATTAGCTCTATCAGTTTTAAATTCATGTGGAGCAGCTGGGCGTGGTGGCTCCCGCCTGTAATCCCAGCACTCGGGAGGCTGAGGTGGGAGGATTGTTGTGAGTTTGAGACCAGCCTGGGCTACACAGTGAGCTCAAGGCCAGCCTGAACTGCATAGTGAGATCCTGTCTCAAAAAAGACAAAAAACAAAAAAAAAAACAAAAAAAAAAACCATGTGGAGCTGGAAACTAACAGCTCCCAATTCAGGCACAGAGAATACAAAAATGCTCCCAGCATGGTTTTCTGTCCCCGAGGTAGAGCCTCTGCAGGAAGAGCTGAGGACCATGGCACCAGTCTTGTTTTTGTTTTTGTTTTTCAACCAATGCTGAGATGAGAAAATGGAACTTTGTGGTTTTGTTTTTTTTTTTTGTTTTGTTTTGTTTTATCGGTACTGAGGATCAAACTCATGACCGTGCACTTGCAAGGCAGGCGCTTATGCTGCTGAACTAAATCCCCAGCTCCATCAGTCTTTACAGAGCAATCAGCCATCTCCTCCAGAGGTGTCTGGGGAGGGGTGATTCCATCTGAGAGGCTGGGGAAGAGGGGGGAGCACTCACATAAATCTATCTAAATTCTTACAGATTTTAAAGAGAGCTTGGGACAGAGGAGAAGCTGTTTCTCCTGAGACCTTTCTAGCTTAGAGCCTGGTAAAAAACTGTTTCAGGTCAGTTAATTGCTAGTATCCAAAAGTTTCTGTCTTAGAACAAGAAGAGAGAGAAAAGTGTAAGAAAAAGAAAAAAAAAAAAAAAAACACTGACCCTGTCACCTCCAAAGGCACTGCAAACAGAAGCACACGATTGGGTCACTGGCTCTTGGGAAAGATAAAATCCATAAACTCCTTGGCCCAGATCTCCAAAATTTTTAGAGACAAGTATATGTGCTATTATTACCGAAGTTGTGAGTTTAAGTTGCTGAGAGAAATACAAACAACCCAAATGCCTGCCGTGTGGGAACATCACGACAATCATGGTGTGGGCACAAGCGACACCCCCGCTGCAAGAGGCAGCCAATCATCAGCCACTCATCAGCTCCCAGGGCCACCGCAAGCCAAGTATGTAAGAAAAAGGAGAGCCAGGTCGGTGGGTACTAGCCACTGGTGCACAGTGGGACCCACCGAATCCCCGGGACCCGTGAGCCTAGAGCTGGGCCAGGCAGGAGGAGCTGGTTCCAGCCTGGAGCACACCAGGGGGTGTGGGCTGGCAGGGACCCTATCCTATGCCAGAGCCCGGGTGGCTATGAGCCCACCTGCCTCCACAGCCCCAGGACCACACTGTCTAACATGCAGGGCCGGAACCCACTGGCATCCCTCCCAGTAGCCAATGTGGTCAGCACCCTGTCCTGCCACAGTGCCCTGGTACCTGTACGTGCATGCACAGTCACCATGCTTACTGTTACACCATCAAATGGGAACTGGACTGGCGGCCAGAGGCAGAACTCTGAGGGCATGATGACCTGTGCTTAGAACCCTAACAGCATAGGAGACAGCCACAAGTTCCCCATCCACAAGTGGCAGAAATTATCCATTAGCTTTGATTTTTATTTATTTATTGTTTTGGTACTGGGAATCAAACTCAGGACCTCACACTTGCCAGGCAGGTGCTGTGCCACTAAGCTAAATCCTCAGCCCCAATTGGCTTTCTAAAAATACAAATACGATTTACAATCATACCCTTCGGACAGGCACTGAGGCAACGGACAGGGGTGCACAGGGCCAGAAAAAGCCTCACAATCAGATGTGACTCTTGTAGAATTTTTTATTTAAGTGGTTACAAGAATGCAGCCAATGAAATCTATAATGATTAAAATCAGGCAAACACCTCTACCTAAAATTGTTAGTTTGTGACTGGAATAAATAATTTCTTTAGACACTTCTTTGCTATATTAAGTCCTACAGAGAAAGACCCCATGAACGCTGTTAAAGGAAAAGGTCTGAGTAAGTGAAAGATGTAAAGGCTGAGTCGAGGCCAGATGAAGGGAAAGGGCACAAAGGTGCCAACATTCTTAAGACAAAATAAAATACGAAAAGAAAACGTTAATTATAGGCAAAACTTTTATTCCTTTTAATTTTTATTATAAGAGATCTATTTAATTGACCTGCAAAAAGCTCTGATAGTCTGTTTATAATTAGAAACTTTAAAAATTGTAAAAAAGTTATTGTAATTCAATGTGGCCAAATATATCTGACTGTACTCTGATTTTATAAACAAACTGTCGTAAGTGTATTTGTTGGTCTGTCTGGCCAGTCTATAAATAGCATTTTTATTTGAGCTCAACAAATTTTTCTTCTTTTTAAGCTGGTTTGCAGATTTCATTAGAACTAAGGACATGCTTCCAACCCAGACTGCCAGCTGATCAAAAGGATGTTAAGATTGGTTTTATAGGGCCGGGGATTTCGCTCAGAGGCTTAAGGGCTTGCCTGGCAAGTGCAAGGTTGTGAGTTTGATCTCTGGTACCAAAAAAAAAAAAAATTGGTTTTATAAATGTGATGCATATTATTGTCTGGGTACAATAACACAAGTCTTTCATTGGTCAAAAATAAAATGTTAATTATTATAATCTGGTTTGTACAGGCCATAAAAAATTTGTCAAGATAATTACATAGAGATCCTTTAGCCTTGGCAAATCCCTTGATGAATCAAAAAGCAGAGAAGCTGCCTGGAAACATTTCTCCTGTTCTGGTCACTAAGGGGACCCCAATGGGAGCCTTAAGGGAGGCACACCCCAATAAACATTGCTAAATATATTGTTGTGATATGTTCACACTGATCATCATCAAAAGGCTAAGTTTTCTATGAAAAAAGCAATAAGTTTTCTTTAAAAGGTGCTCTTGGTAGCCAGGTATGGTGGCATATGCCTGTCACCCCAGCAATCGGGAAACTGAAGTAGGTATGTGAGACCACTCTTGGCTGCATAGCAAGTTCAAGGCCAGCCTGGACTACATAGTAGGATCCTGTCTCAAAAGAAAAAACAAATTAAATTAAATTAAATTAAATTAAATTAAAGGGCTGGAGATATAGCTCTGTGGCACAGCACCTGCCTGGCAAAGTGCAAGGTCATGAGTTTCAAAAAATAAAATAATGCTGTTGATACAAAACTAGATTAAGAAACAAAGGTTTTCATATAGCCAATTATTGCTAATTTCATGGTGTACTAAATACATTCATACCTTCCAGATGTACAGATTCTCTAAGATACAAAACTAGGATTGTTTATGGTGATAATCTTTTTCTTTTAGACTCAGCTATCTGCCTTTCTCATCTGTTACAGCTACTTGTGATAAGCGGTATGTGTCAAACTAGCATGAAAGCACTTGTCAAATAATAATTTTTTAAAGGCTTCTGTGGTGTACATGTTTTATATGTGTCACTATACTTAGGGATGCTTGGGCACTAAATAGTCCAGATCACGTCACAAACTTCTTTGATGGCATTCCATTAAAGGATCAAAAATCAGGTGAGAGTTTCTTTGTGTCATTTAGTGTGCCCTCTATTTCCTGCACCCCCCTGAACTCCTTTAAGGACCCCAAAAATTCTTTAACTACAGCTCCAAAATAGTTCTGATTTCCTGCAAAGGGTTCTCAACCATATTTGCACTGTCTTTATTGAATCCTTCTCCAAGTGCGCATCTCTAAGATCTGGAGCCCAATCTGCTGCCACAGCTGGAGACACAGCTCAGTGTGCAAACCCTGGATTCAATCCCCAGTGCCCTATACACTCAAAAAAATACCTGCTATGTGATTCCACAAAGACCAGAACAGACGGGAGATTAGTCAGTGGCACTAGCGGTTAGAGGACTGGTCACGTGAGAGTGTGGAGCTGGGCTGGTTACTAAGAAGGGGTCAGAGAGCCTTGTCTGGCCTGGAAATAGTGCACATCTTAGACTGGACAGTGATCACAAAGGTACGTGCATGTGTAAACATGACACCATACACCCGTTCCACATGGCTTTGCCCAGGTGGTGCTGCTTTAACAAAACACCTGATACTGGATAATGTCCCCAAAAAGAATGAGCTATGTACGGTGACACACACCTATAATCCTAGTACTCTAGGAAGCTGAGGCAGAAAGATCATGAGTCCAAGCATAGCCTAAGTAACTTCGTAATTAGTAAGACTCTGGCTTAAAAGAAAAAAATCAAAAAGGGCTGGGAGGTGCAGCTCAGCATGAAGACTCCGGGTTCAATCCCCAGCACAGCAGAAAAAAATGAAGAAAACCCCGCCATGTATCTGGCTCAGGGTTCTAGAGCTAGAGTGCCTGCTTGACACAGCACGGCACTGCATCCGTGACAGAGCACATGGGGTGGGGGGTGGGGCGGCGTGTGGGCAGCCTCACATCTGGTGGTCATTTCCCAGAGGGCTGATCGGTCATCCAGACCTGATCCACCCCAGGAGACCAGCGTTAATTTCTTTTAGGGGGCGGTGACCCCACAACCTAACCATCTCCCTCCTGACCATGAAGCATCTGCCCGCCTCCGTCCCTACACTCTGAGGACCCAGCTGCCCGCACGTGAACCGCACAGAACCCAGCAACACAATCAAGACTGCAAGCTGCATTCTGTGACTGTAGCACTGCCATTAAAAAGGGACCAAAGCCCTGCTGAGGTCCTCTGAACTGAAGAGGACATATACTAAGATGGAACACGCAAGGAGACTTCATTTCTTTCCTGTTTTTTGGTGCAAGGGTCTGGATCACTATGTAGTTCAGGCCAGCCTTGAACTGATTATGTAGCCCAGGCTGAGCTTGAACTCATGGCGATCCTCCTGCCTCAGCATCAAACCCACAGTGACCCTCTTGCCTCAGCTTCCCCAGTCCTGGGAGCGCACTTTCCCACAGCCTGCTGCCTGCGCGTACCACCAACCTGGATGCACGGCATGGTTCGAGACCTGTTCAGCCCCCGGTACACCTGGGCCAGCCCACTCTTGGTCCAGTCCTTGTCCTCGGCGGAGGACACGTAGATGACGATGGTCTGCTCCGAGGAGCACAACTGGTCCAGGATGAGGGAGTCGTACTCCAGGTCTGTCACCTCCGGGATGTGGTGGGTGCTGCACCTACAGATGTCCCCCCGCTGTCCCCGCAGCGTCCTCCTCAGGACCACGGGACATAGCAGCTGAGGCACAAGCCACACGGCCCTGCTGTCCATGGGAAGAGGCCTAGGGACACAGAGGGCAGGGGTCAGCTAACTGCTGTTACCCTGGGGACCTTTCCTGAAGTCAAGGCCAGTGTGGGCAGCACTCACTGAACTCCCCACGGTGGGGCAAGGGGAGGCCACACCCTTGCATCTGGGAAAACTGAGACTCTGGAAATTCAGTGATCTGACCCAAACTCTCAATAGTAGAGCTGGAATCTGAGCCCATGTGTGTTTTTTCCTATCATAACACTGCCTTCTCACTGGCAATTGTCCTGCCTCAGCTTCCCAATGTTAGGATTACAGACATTGACCATCACCCCTGGCCAAGAGCCATAATAATATTCTATATAAAATACTATACTGTGCTGCACACATACTTTATCGATTCCCATTTTTATTAGTAAATCACAAATCTGTTGTTCTCGGACGTTTGTGGCATGCCTTCCTGCTCAGCTGGATGGTTCTGTATATGGAGGGAGTCTTTGTTTTTTTGAGTCAGGGTCTCACTACGTAGCCCAGACTGGCTTTGAACTCATGGCCGTCCTTCCTCCTCGGCCTCCCAAGTGCTGGGATCACACACGTGCACCATCTTGTCTGGTTATACAAGGACTTGTATAATTGCCGCAGCAGTTCAGTGCCATACACAGTGACTGTGAATTACTACAAAGGGACAATTCACTCGTGCCTGGAAGGAGACACCAGACTAGAACGTGTGGTCACACTTGCTCAGAGTTCTGGGTTTGTCAACTGACCACAGCCAAATCCTAATGTGCTTGGCGTGTGTCTTGAGGGCTTGCAATCTCAAGACCTCTCCATACTGACTCTCAGAATTTTCCTGGGCACTCACCTCTGCACTGAAGTTACTGAACTCTGTAAAACTGCGGATTGTAAAATCCAGGTAGGGGCCAGGGATTTAGCTCCACAGCACAGAGCCTGCCTGGCAAGCATGAGGTCATGAGTTTGATTCCTGGCACCAAATTAAATAAATAAAACAAATCAAACCCAGACAGATGCACCGACTGTACATCTTGGCTTTACTCAACACACGCGCACTTTGGGGTTTGCATCAACAAATTTTTGCTTCTTTTGCAGCCCTGGGGATCAAAACCAGGGCTTCCCCCGTTAGGCAAGTGCTCTACCACTGAGCTATCCCATCCTGTACTGGCAATGTAACTTCAAAAGTCCATCATGGAGCCAGGAGTGGTGATGCAAGTCTGCAATCCTAGCACTCAGGAGGCTGAGGCAGGAGGATCAGCGGCAGCAGCATGCCTGTTCTGCCAGTCCAGGAGATGCAGAAGGCCCCACCCCCAGCCTCGGGATGGAAAGGAAAGGAGAGCAGGTTGCTTATGGCGCTCACGTGCTACCCCCAACCTGAGTCAGGCTTTCCAGTGCAGGGCTAAGTTCTGAACCTGCGGCCACTAAGGAGATCAAAACAAAGCAAACAGTGTGGGGACGCTTGCTTTCAATCCCAGCGCTAGAGAGGCTGAGGCAGGAGGTTCTCTATGAGTTTGAGACCGGCCTGAGCTACATGGTAAGACTGTCTCAAAACAAAACCAAACAATACAAAAAAAAAGAAAAGGAAAGGAAAGGAAAGCAAAACAGTGCAAACCAAGCCTTGATTTCTGGTTAATTTAGATTGCATTACTAAGAGGAGGCCAGTTAGGAAGCAGCCTGGAGAACCCAGAGATGCTGGAGTCCAGATGGTCACCTGTCCCACATAGGATGACTTTGCATCCCTGAGTCTGCCAAGGGCCAGCAGCACCCCAGCCCAGAGCTCGCTGGTGGGGATTGAGTGACCCGCATGCCCTGTGGACTGGGTGGACTGATGGGGTGGGGCTGAGTGGTGGGACTGATGTGCCGTTACCGTGGGCACCGTGGTGCAGTCGTGGCTGGCATCTTGGTCCTGGACCTGGTCTTGGTTCCCAGGAGGCGGCACCGTGGCCTTTGGGCGCCCCTTGGTACACAGGAGGAGCCGCAGTGCTGCAGGGCCTCGTGAGCCCCATGTCCTGCCCCGGCAGCCTGGCTCTGAGTGGGCAGTGGCGGAGGCAGCACATCTGTCCCTGCAAGGCAACGGCATAGGGCCACTGAGCGAGCTTACGTCCACCTTGGGAATGGCCTGCCATGGGGAAAATCGGTGTGGAGAGCCAGCCCAATGACTAAAGCCAGAGCCTTGACTCAACCAGTCACCTTGGTGTCTTCCTGGGAGTGGACTGCAGTGACACATGCACACCCATGTTCACAGCAGCACAATTCCAAATTGCTAAACCTTGGAAGCGGCCTGTATGTGCATCCACAAACAGGTGAGCGGATGAGGGAGCGTGGCATTTATACCCAGCAGGGTACCAGGCTGCCACAAGGAAGGGTAAACTTGAGGCATCTGTGGGAACAGGCACGCACCTCCAGGGCATGATGCTAAGTGGTGCAAATCAGATGCGTGGTACAGGAGAAACCCAAAGCACAATCAAAGAGCAAAACAGAAGTTAAGATGACACAAAACAGGGAGGTGGACCTTTTGCAGAGGGGAAGAGGAGCCAGGGACAGGGAGGGGAGGCGGAAAGGACCACGGTGCCTCTGGGCAGTACAGACTCCCTGTAGAAGGCAGCCTTAACCATCACAGGCAAACGCCCGTACAAAGACTGAAAAACATGTTCCTTTCTTCTGGGTTTTTTGTTCTTTGGTTTTGGGTGCCCGGAATCAAACTCACGACCTCATGTTACCAGGCAGGCGTTTGTGTCACTGAGCTGCATCCCCAGCCCTACACTGGGTCCTTCTATTCACCCACATCTGTCTGCTTAGGGACCCACAGCGATTGAGTAACAATCCAGAAAGCTTCCAGTCCACCTGCTCGTCTAACCCGTGGCTTTATCATGCCTACCTCGTGCCTGCACTGAGCCAAACACAGCCACGACTCGCCCTGCCACCTAGCACCCTGCGAGAGGCCAGTTGGTCCTCCTGTCTGTGCAATGAAGATTCACAAACCCTGGATCAACACTACCAGGGGTAGTGCCCTGTGGTATGGCATCTGCCTGGCATGCACGAGGTCATGAGTTTGATTCCCAATACCAAAAAACCCCAAACTTTACAGGGGTTTTGCTGGTGAGCAAATGCCATTTACATGAGGGAGGTGGTGTCCTGGGCTTTTGCTATCCATATCTCACACCGAGGACAACTGTCCTCTTATTTTGTGATGTCACAACTCAGAACGTGGACATCCACCTCATCCAAACCCTCTGCTTCACCATCTACAGACGCCAAGGTGTCTCCACAGCGTCAGGCAGAAAACTGGGAACGGTGAGGGCTATCAGACGAGGGGCTTTTTTAAAAATGATGCCTTTGTAGCCAGGCATGGTGGCACACACCTGTGATTCCAGCACTCCGAGGTTGGAGCAGGAGAATTTAGGCCACTCTGGGATACACAGTGAGTTCTAGGTTAGTCTGAACTGTAGAGTGAGCCCCTGTATCCAAAAACAAACAAACAAACAAAACACCGGGTGTGGTGGCTCACGCCTATAATTTCAGCGCTCTGGAGGCTGAGGCAGGAGAATCGCTGCAAGTTTGAGACCAGCCTGGGCTACAAAGTGAGCTGAACTGCATAGAGAGACCTTGTCTCAAAAAGACAAATAAATATTCTCCTGTAATCACAGTAGTGAAAAAGAAAAAAAAAGACAAATAAATAAATGAATAATTAAAAAAAAGTCAGAAAAGGAAAAAGAAACAAGACAAACACAAAGAACGCATCTGCGGAGAGATTCTGTTTACCAGCCAGTGAGGGGGGAGGGGAGAGGCTGGGTCCTGGAAGGCTGCCCAGGAGTCGCAGGGACACCACCCCACCCACCCCGGCCCAGCACGCACCCAGCGCGCTGAGGTAGCAGTTCTTCCAGCCCAGCAGCAGCCGCTGCGCCTTCTTCTGAAGCGCATGGAGCTTGCCCGCGGTCACCACGTCCCGCAGCGGGCTGACATCCGGGGCTGGATCCAGTGCGTCTGTGTCTCTTGGGTCCACCGCACTTGTGGCCTTCAGACAGAGACAGGATGGGGCGCTGTTCAGGTGATGCCCGCACCAGCAGCCTGCACCACCTGCAGGGCAAGCTGTCAGCCATCAGCGCCTGGCTCCTGCACCACCTACTCAGCCAGCTGACAGCTGTGTGCCCCGGACTCTGATGTGGGCATGCGGGGCTCCATCGAGCTGTCATCCACCCGCATGGAAACCCGAGGAGAAAAGCCACCAGCCGGGCCCCAGGCCCGCACAGTCAGGGAGTAGCCACAAGCTGGCAAGGGGCTGCTTTGAAGCTCTGAACATACTTCCCAGGTAGATGACTGACAAGTAGTAGACTATTTTTCCTGCAGACATGTCTTCTGACCACTTTCCCTGAGGCCTGACAGGAAAGTCAAGCAGCGATTTCACACCTAGGTTATTTACTGAGAGCTGGACGGCTATTTGCACAGACTTCTTTCCTGAATGTCTTCATCTACTGTGTTCACAATATCCCCAAACCGGAAGTGATCCAATGTCCATCAGCCAGTGAATGGATGAGCAAAGTACATCAGGTCTACGCAATGCCACGCATTCATAAAAAGGAGCAAGCATCTGAGACACGGAAATGGATGGATTTCAAAACCATTAAACTAAAACAGGCATGGCGGTGCACGCCTGTAATCCCAGCACTTGGACGGCTGACGCAGGATTGCAGTGAGTTTGAGGCCAACCTGGGCTGTTACATGGTGAGCTGAAGGGCAGCCTGAACTACACAGCAAGACCGTCTCAAAACAGAAACAAACAAACGCATTAAGCTAAGCAAAAGCAGCTGAGGGTAAAAGGGTCCGCAGGCTTAGCCACACCTCCTTTCTGTGCCTCCTGGCTTCTGCATGTCCTTCCCTGGCTCCTCTGAAGAGCCAGAGTGGTGTAAATCACACCTCCCCTCAGGTCAGGGGTCCAGCTGTGTCTGTTTATACGTAAACACATAAACTGGTGTCCCTGGGGTCGTTAAGTAACATGCTGAGCGCAGACCACCGAATCAGCACTTTCCCATCCCATCCGCTCACGCCAACTTCATTCACCAATCTACAGGGAAGAGCTTGCATCTCTGACTCAGCGTAACGCTGTATTCTAACATCATCACTACGAACTTTTGTTATAGGCAGCTGAGCTAGTTAGAAATACTATAGGCGGTCAGACAGGGCCAGGCCCTGGAAGCCAGCACAGAGGACTAGATGTCTGCTCACCTTGGAGGGGACACACACCTGTGCTGTGGGCCAGATCTCAGGACAGAAGACAAAACAAATGCAGCCACACCCTAAGTATAAACTCTAGGTATGGATCACCTGGAGAAGCCAGGAGTCACCACGCCAACCCAGACAGGAAGAGTCCCTGACTAGGTCAATTTTACCTGAGCAATTAATGCTATTGGTTGACCACAGCTCTGTCCCACCTCATGCCCTCTGCCTTGTGAGTTCCCAGTTTTTCCCAACTTTAGACCCACTTCCCCTCATGGTTTTACTCTATAAAAAATCCCAAGAAAATACAGAATCTTTGGCAATGCACTGGGGACCCCTTCTGTCTCTCTCTCACAGACAGAAGCTTTCTTTCAATATTTCTGCTCTTAACCTCCGTTGTTTCTACAATTCATTCTTTAATTTTAGAAAACACGAAACTTGTTCCAGACACATAGTAGGTTGGGAGTTTCATTCCCCATATCACTTTTTTGAAGTTTTCTGCTACTCACTAGAAACTCAAAAACATGAAATTTTCTGTCCATGTGATCACGACGTGCTTATGTCTCTGTGCACGTATGTGCACGTGTATGCATGTTACTAAGCACTGAACCTAGGGACTTCACACTGAACTACAAGTCCCAGCTCTGGTTTATAGTTTATTTTGAGACCCGGTCTTACCCAGGCTGGGTGTGAACTTGTGAGCTTCTGCCTCAGCCTCCCAAGGTGCTGGGATCACAGTTGTGGTCACTACAACAGGCAAATACTCTGATGTGGTTTCTCTTGATCCTATCTCACCTTTGTGAGTATGCAAACATTACACAAGGAGCTTACATCTCTGTTCTGGGCGGTGAAGGCCAGTCGCCAGCTCATCTTGCAGTCTCCAGTGGAGTCCCTGGTTCCAGGGGCAGCTGTGACAGCTGGGTTGATGGCAGGGAGTGGCTAGGAGAGAGGGGCTCTTTCAGAGTCACACCTTATAATCCCAGCACTGGGGGAGGCAGAGGCAGGAGGATCATTGTGAGTTCCAGACCAGCCTGGGCTACAAAAGTGAGCCCAAGGCCTGCCTGAACTTCATAGAGACACTGTCCAAAAAAAAAAAAAAAAAAAAAAAACTAGGCAAGATTCCAGCGTCCTTACTGCAGGAGTCACCAGGTGACACTAAGACTTAAGGCTCTACCAGGATATGGGGGTACACACCTGTAACCCCAGCAGCTGGGAGGCTGAGGCAGAAACACTGATAAGAGTTTGAGACCCAAACAGAGATTTAGCTCCAAGGCGTAAGTGCCTCCCTGGCAAGCGTGAGTTTGATCCCCAGTACAAAAAAAAAGGTGGGGAGGGTTGAGGCCATCCTGAGCTACAAAGTGAGTCTGAGGCCAGCCTGAACTATATCAGGGGACCCCGTCTGAAAAAGAAAAAACAAACCAACCAATTAATAATAATAAGTAAAAACACACGAAAGTCAAGGCTCCAAAATTGGTCAGCCTGCTCCTGCTCGGGGTGGGGTAGCAGGAGAGAGAGGACACCAGACCTACCACACCAGGCAGACCTGCAGACCCAGGCTCATGTTTTTTGGGTGCTAACGCCAGCTTCAGGCTTTGGGGATGGCATCTGTAGACCAAGGTAATGGCAAAGCGCCCCGAAATCTTCACCGTCATGAAACTGTTTACCTGGGCGACACAAAAGAGGGCCTTTGTGTACTTACGCTGGATGGGATGGGATGTGGATATAACTCAGCAGCATAAACACATGCCAGGCAAAGGCAAGGTCCTGAGTTCAATTCCCAGTACCAAGCAAATAAATAATAAAATAAAATAACCATCTAAAAGGTGTATGTGCAGGCTGGGCATATAGCTCATTTGCTCAGTGCCTGTCTGGGAAGCCCGAGGTCCTGAGTTCGATTCCCGGTACCAGAAAACAGTATATGTAGCAGTCAGCCACCACTGATAAGTCTGTAAATCACACAGAAAGAGCAAGTGGGGCATGGTGGTGGCGCCTGTAACTCCAGCACTCAAGAGGCTGAGGAAGGAGGACCACCTCGAATTCAAGGTCAGCCTACACTACACAGGGAGTTTAGGCTAAATGACACAGTGAAACCCTGTCTCAAAAACAAAAACAAAACAAAAGCTTCCCATAAGCATACAGTATTTGGCTGCTGTTGTTTCTTTCTGGCTTTGGTTTTGTTTTTTGGCCTCAAACACACAGTGATCCTCCTGTCTCCAGAGTGCTGGGGTTCCAGCCATGGACACCACGCTGGGGAAGTGCTTCTATAGTAACAATTTTAAAGTCGCTTTGCTTAGTAAGAATGAATCAAGACAGGACCATAGTTTGCCAAGTGAAACGGAGGACCAACCTAAAAGTCGCAATCAGCCGGCTAATGTTAGTCAAACTGAGTAAACTGGTCCTCCCAGTCACTTTTCCCATAAAACCCAGAGTACAGCTGGGCGTGGTGGTGCATGCCTGTAATTCCAGCACTGGGGAGGCTGAGCCAGGAGGATCGTTTTGAGTCAGGAACAGCCTGAACCGCATAGTGAGACCCTGTCTCAAAAAGACAAAAAAAAAAAAAAAAAAAAAAAAAGAGTACGCTATATTTTATGTATTGTAGAACTCAATGCGTCTCAGGAATGCAGTGATGATTACAGAGATTGAAAAGGAGAAAAGGGGGGGCAGTACCCCAATTTCCACGGGGTCATCAAGTTTCCCCTTCGCAGGCCACATCCACTCCCTGACCACGCGTCCACTGCTGTTGATCACCATGCCTCCGTACGGGTTAAACATCATGCAGAGGATCTGCCTGTGGGAGAGACAGCGACGAAGAGGCAGAGGCAAGGGGGTCCCACGAGTTCAAGGCCAGCCTGGGCTGCAGAGACAGACTGGCTCGAAAAACAAAAACGTTTTCAAAGTTTGTTAAATTATGTTGGGAAAGTGGGCTGCATTGAAAGAACAGAAACACATACACCAACTGAAACATTATTAGATGCAAGGCGCGGTTCACACACACCGCGTATACCCGGGGCAGGCGGGCTCTGCACTCAGGAAAGTTTCAGTCTTACGACAATAATTAGTACATGGATGTGGTACACAAGTCTGTAATCCCAGCAGTTTGACAGGCTGAGACAGGAAAGTCACAGGTTCAAGCCCAGCCTGGGGACCTTTCCAAGACCCTCAAAATAAAAAATAAAAGGTACTTTTTCCAGACCCTGTCTCAAAAAACTGAAAGAAAGAAAGAAACAATGAAACAAAGAAAAAGACCCAGCAGTGAGGTTTACCAAAAAGCTAGGGCCAAAGTGATCCATTCTTGGGAAACCCAGCACCGCAAGTCGGCTCCAGGACTCCGTGTACTGCCCCACCCTGTCCCCCACTGCCCCACCCTGTCCCCCACTGCCCCACTCTGTCCCCCACTGCCCCACCCTGCCCCTGCCCCTGCTACAGAAGGTCCGAGTTTCCTAATCTCTCTTCCCAGGCTTTTGCAGCTCACTCCGCGCGCTTCTCTCCTTGATGCCGAAGGAGGGCGTCTCCTGGGCATCTGTGGTTCTGCCTACCCGAGAGCTGCCTCCAAGTCTGGGGACAGGTGATGTGGCCCCAAGGGCAGCCTGGGAGGGAACTGAGCAGCTGAGAGCACCCGGAAGCCAGGAAGAGTCAGACACAGCAAATGGGAAGACGGGGCTGCAAGGGAAACCCCCACTTCAGTCATCCAGAGCTGGGTGAGTCCACAGGGCCTTGGTTCCCCTGAGACGCTGCCCTCAGAACAGCTTCGAGAGCCTGTTTCAGTCTCCTGAATACTGGAGAAGGCTCGGGAGGCTGAAGCGGGAGGAGCTCGAGTTTGAGTTGGAGGCCAATACAGGCCACTCAGCAAGATCCAGTCTCCAAACATCAATGACTTAAAACCAAAATAAACTGTGATGAACACTGTCCCTTCCCAAATTTGTGTCCCCGGAACCTGCTAAGTATAATACATGATCTTATTTGAAAGTAGGATCTGAGCAAATGGGATCAGCTAACGCTCTCAAGATGGATTTACCCTGGGTCTCAGCTGGGTACCAAACCTCAGAAGAGAGGTCGAGGAAGGGCAGGGAAGGTGCCCTGGGGGCCAGAGGCTCAGGTGATGAGAGCCAGGCATCTGAGGGCCGAGGCTATGGGCACCTGGGGGCCCAGGGCAGGCTCTCCCTCAGGTCTGGAACCCTCATTTCTGTCTAGCAGCCCCCACTCTGGGTTCTGCATTAGGCCACCCAGTTCCAGTGATTTGCTAGGGCAGCCCTGGGAAATGGACTCAGCAGGTCCACACCCACTGGCCCTGCCATCTAAGCTTGGGCTATGGGCATCATGTCACCTTCGCCCTATGGCTGCAGTGGCCTTTCTGGTGAGGGTCAGGGTCAAGGTCAAGGACAAAGGGCCTGCAGTGCAGAGCTGCCCAGAGCCAAACGCTGGGAGCCAGCCCCAGAGAGGGTCCCGCTCCAGAGAGGCCTCGGAACTGTGAATGGCGTGGAAGCCTCGTCCCTCAGGGAAGGACTGGGGTGGGGACATGGACGATCTGGGGGGCCTTCACAGGGTCCTTAAGAAAGGTGTAGAAGCCAGGCATGGTAATCCCAGTATTGAGGAGGCCGAAACAGGAGGATCACTGTGAGTTTGAGGCCAGCCTCAACTACACAGCTAGAATCTGTCTCCAAAAAACAAAAACGAAAGACCCAGGGCAGCAGACATCACCCAGAGCCCCAGATCCCAAAGTCCCAGCAGGTCACAGCTTTGGCAGTGACCCCAGGCTTGGTATGACTCGGGAGAAAGGGAAGAGAGGCTGTGTGGGGCCCCAGCAGTGTTGGCGGCCAGCGTCCGACCCAGTGACCATCCTGGGATGGGACCAAGCTGTGGCAGGGGCTCAGAACCAGCCTGTCCCGGGGCCCTGTCCCTACAGACACTGGGAGCCTGACGACAGCCGCTGTGTGCTGCTGAGAGCAGCCCTGGGCAGCAGAGAGGAAGGGGATTCTTGTTCTCCCAGCAGCAGCCTGGGACCTGCACCAGGGACCACAGAACTCAGGCAAAGGGTAGCGGCAGGTCCCTCCCCACCCAGGACTCAACAAGGACAGTGTCTGCTCCGGGCGAGAACAAGCACCTGCACTGACGGGTGACGCAACGTGTGGTGACATTTCCAGGAGCTGCCTTCCCAGACCGAGGCTTGGTCTAGGTGGAGGGAGACCCTGAAATTGTAACCTGCTTTTGTTTTGCTTTGTTTTGTTTTGGTACAAGAGATTGACCCCAGGAACTTCTCACCGAGCAATGCCCCCGGCCCTTTTATGTTTTTAAACAGTTCCCCTAAACTGGCCAGGCTAGGCTCAACCTAACCACCCTCCTGCTTCAGCCTCCCACAGTGCTGGGATCACAGGTGGGCACCACCCCATCTGGCTCTGCTTTGCTTTCCTTTGCAGCAGCCTTCTCCAGCTGGCGCGGTCTGTATTTCACTATCTGCTTGATCTCCGTACTCTAACACGTGAGCTATGCAGGGGCAGCAGCTTTGTTCTGCTCCTTTTTTTTTTTTTTTTTTGTCTTTTTCATTTTTATCGGTACCAGGGATCGAACTCATGACTGCCTGCTTGCAAGGCAGGCGCTTATGCCGCTGAGCTAAATCCCCAGCCCCTTCTGCTCTTGACTACTGTAGACATCAAGCGAGCCTGGTGCTCTCAGTGCCCGCACTAAAGATCCGGAATCAAGGAGCATGCGTGTCCTTTCCAGATATTATTTTCCTCATCTTTTTAAAATAGGGTCTCACTATGTATCCCAGACTGGCCTTGAACCTGCAGCAATCCTCCTGCTTCAGCCTCCAGAGTGCTTATAACACACCCAGCTCTACAGCTGCTTTTTATTTTAAGGTTCGCACTTTTTGTTTGCTTTATATTGCCTTTAAATGACCCTGTAACATGGCTCTGGACAAGCCAAAAATATGTCTTCTGCCTTCCATTACAAGTGTCTGGGGTATATAAATGCTCAATACATCATCACTAGAGGAAGAAGAAAAACTTAGGCAGATGGAGACCCTGAATAGCTGCAGGGCAGGTTAGGTGGTGGGTGCTCACCAGCCAAGCCCCCCATCTGCACCCCGCTCCCCAGCTCCCCCTGTTCCAGTCCCTACCTTTGAGAAGAGATGCTGCCACAGCCAAAGGGTGTGAAGGTCCCCAGGACAGGCTGGCTGGGCAGGTCGCTGAATATATTGGTGTACAGGCCGCGGCGAGGCAGGTCCCCCGGGCTCTGGCACACAGCAAGGAGGCCGGAAGGGTAGATGAAGTTCAGGTTAAGGGACTGACGTCTCGTAAAACAACACTGATGCTGATCCTTGTATAGAAAGGGCCTTTCTCTGTCTCTGTCTCTCCCCCCACAGGGTCTAACTATGTAGCTCAAACTGGCTTGGAGCTCACAGCAATCCTCCTGCCTCAGCCTTTGGAGCTCTGGCATTACAGGTGTGCGCCACCATGCCCGGCCAATTCCACATTCTCTTAGGGAGTCTGGGCAGACAAGTCCTTCGAGGGACGCTTGGGAGCCCAAGCTCCCCACTGCTCCCCAGGGTCCTGCAGCAACGTCCTCCAGGCACAGTGCAGTAGGGACTGGACAAGGACGACCAGAATGTGACAGCACCAGCCTCTGCAGAGTCCACTATGATGGGCCCTCGAGGCCTTTTGTCATTTGGGTTTTTTTGTACCAGGGATCTAACTCAGGACCTCATGCTTGCCAGGAAGGCACTTATGCCACTGAGCTAAATCCCTGGCCCTCATTGGGGTGTGTGGGATCTGATCACAAAGCTCTCTTCCCTCTAAGCTAGTGTATCTAGATGCCGAGTTCCCTCGTGGTTCCTTCTAATAATCAGGAAAATGGACCTAGGAGAACTCATCTTCTCAGCATCGTCAGGGATATGCAGCTCAGCACCTGCCCAGCAAATGCAAGGTTGTGAGTTCCATCCCCAGTACCAAATAAGGAAAGGAGGAAAGGAGGGAAGGAAGGAAGGAAGAAAGAAAGAAAGATCGCACTAGTCTTTAATTCCCTAACAAAAATAAAACCAGGCATGGTGGTGCACACCTGTAATCCCAGCATTTGGTAGGCTGAGGCAGGAGGATCTCTGTGCGTTAAAGGCCAGCCTGGGCTACACAGCAAGACCCTGTCTTAAAACAAACAAGAAACAATAATAACAAAGAAAAAAAAAATCAAGGATAACTAGAGGTCCCCTAAGAAGGAATGTTTGGAAACCCGAAAAACGCCCCAATCCACTTTTTCAGGTTGACTCACCCGCCCCTAGTGTAGGGAAGTAAGATCCCTGGGAGCAGAGTGGGGAGCTACGCCCCAGAGCTCCGAGGGGCGCCTTTCTGCTGGGGGTGGGGGGGGGGCGCCTTAAGGCGCAAACCTCAACCTAGCCAAGGCCCAGCACCCCAGCCCCTAGCCTGCGGCACGCAGGGTACTAGATCAAGGAGGAGCCGTCGGCCAGGGCGCAGTGGAACTTCCTCCGCGGCCGCGCGGCCTCCCCCACCTTCTCCTCCCGCTGGGCCAGCAGCTGAGGCCGCCGCTCCAGCAGCTCCCGCCAGAAACTCAGGGTCGCCTGGGGACTCGGCCCCTCTCCCTCGCCTTCAGGCTCGCTGTAGTAGTGCAGGATCGGGCATCGGTCGAACCCCTTTCTCTTTAGCTGAGCTTCTTCTGTTTTTCTGTTCAAATGAAAAAATTTCAAAACGTGGGTATCAGGGCGAAGGGGCGGGGTGGAAGGCAGGGAAGCTGTAAACTCAGGGTCGGGAGGCTGAGGCAGGAGGATCGTCACAAGTCTGAGGCCAACCTGGACTACACTGTGAGTTCAAGGCCAGCCTTAACTACAAAGGAAGACCTGTCTCAACAAAGAAAGAAGTACGCAAACAACTTATTAATAGGAACCGGTTCAAAAAGTCATGAAATATACAGGTCTCGGAATTCAAAGCAGCCATTCAAAATCTGGTTTTGAAAAATGGAATGGCATGGAGAAGTGCCTGTGATCAAGTGACATAAGAAGCAGAATGAGGGGCTGGGGATTTAGCTCAGCGGCATAAGCACCTGCCTTGCAAGCAGGCGGTCATGAGTTCAATCCCTGGTACCGATAAAAAAAAAAAAAAAAGACCAAAAAAAAAAAAAATCTAAAAAAAAAAAAAGAACAGAACTAGTGAACTGTAAAATAGCTAAAGACAGTGAAAAAGGAAAAAAAAAAAAAAAAAAAAGCAGAATGAAAATGGTGTTTCAAAGACAGCTTTCACAGAAGGTGGAGCCGGAGAGTGGCCGCGCGTTCAGGTCAGCTGAGCTGCAAAGCCAGACCCTGTTCAAAAAAGAAAAAGATGTACTTTTTGTTTGTTTCCTTTCTGTTGGTGCCAGGAAGTCGAACTCAAGATCTTGCGCTTGCCGGGCAGGCATTGCGCTGCTGAGCTATATCCTTTAAATACCCTTATAAAGGTAAAAGATACCTTGTATAAGAAGATATTTTACCTGTCTATATGCACACAGAAAATGCACAGTACAAAATGTATCTTCGCTGCAGGTATGGGGTGGACGTGTGTGTGCACATGTGAGTCAGAAAAAAAGCACAAGGAAATATACTAAAATGTAAAAATGTTCTCTTGGGGAAAGAAAGTTGTAGGATTTCAATGAAATGTTTAAAAATGATGAGTTCCCATCATGACTTACATTTGCAGTGCACCCCAAACGCGCCGTGGCTCCCCACAGCAGAGCCGGCGGGGCAGAAGGCAGGGCCTGCCGTGTCGGGGTCACCTGGGTGTCCCCAGGCTCCGCCTCCCCCAGCCGCAGTGCTTCTCCCGTTTTGGGGTGTGTCGGCCTCCTCTCCCGGTAGCCTTGTCTTAACTCTGCCTTTGTCCCGCTGATGCTGACAGAGGCTTAGGGTCCACTGTGCTGACAAGCTGCTTAAACACGGGCCCTGGCTTTATGTTTCCTAGAACTGCGCTTTCTTTCCGCTGAGCTACATCCCTGGCCCTGAAACAGGCTCCTGCTATACAGTTTAGCCTGGTTTTGAACTCAGTGTGTAGCCCAGCCTCGCTGGAACTTGCAGCGATCCTCCTGCCTCAGCCTCCTGAGTGGTGGGTTCACAAGCATGCGCCACCACGCCCGGCTTCCCTTAGGGCTGGGCTTCGTCCCTTTGGTCCAGCTTCCCGACTTCCTCTTTCCCATCTCAGCGTCCCCGTCGGGAATCCTGCTCTGAACCGCTGCCCAGAGGCGTCCCGGGCTCGTGTGTCTCCCACATGGCAGACGCAGGCGGCGGGCAGGGCGTGTGTCCCTCCTGTCCACCACCGCGTGCCCCGAGGGACAGCGCGCGCCGGCCGGGGCCTCACATGCGCGCCAGGGCCTCCTGCAGTCTCCGCACGGCGGCTCCCAGCACCGCTTTCCACTTGAGAATTTCTGATCTTGAGTAAGGGCGCTGAAAGAGCCAATCTGTAAAAAGAGAGGAGCGTTTAAGACGCCAGGGACTCCACCCTCCGCGACTCTCCCGGCCTTGGGACCCCATGGCGCCGGGGTGTCGCCCCTTCACCCCGCCCACGCCCGCGTCCGCCTGCCAAACACATGCCCGGGAGTTGGACCCGTGGCGTCACCCCAAATCCCAGGCAACAGCGTGACCAGAGTCCTCCCACAGGGTCCGCGACACAGCGTGAGGACAGCAAGGTCCCCTCCTCCAGGAGGAGGGCGCAAGGGGCCAAGGGTGTTCAGAGGTGGCCAGGGAGGAGCCCTGGGATGCCTGGGCCTCTGCTTTGCTTTGGCCTCCAGGGCATGGGCAGATAATTACCTTGTGAGAAGCTAGGGTGATTAGAAATGCAGAATAACCGGTTTCCTTTGAACTGATCTCTTCCCTGTGCTATGCTTATTCATGTAAAAGCAGCTCAAAGAAAAGTGTGATCCTGCATGGTGGTGCACCCCTGTAATCTCAGAACTCAGGAGGTTGAGGCAGGGGGATCACCACAAGTTCAAGGCCAGCCTATGCTACATAGTGAGTTCAAGGGCAGCCTGGACTACATAAAGAGCCTCATTATGTAGCCTAGATTGGCCTCAAACTCATGGAGATCCTCCTGCTTCAGCCTTCTCAGTGCTGAGAGTACCAGTGTGCACGGCCACCCTGGACTTCAGTTTGGAATCCCCTCCTGCTGCCAGGAGCTCCTCCTCTTTTTATTTACAGTAAACAAACCTCCTCACTTTCCTTTTGTCCACAATGGCATGTGATTAGGAGCTCTGTTTCTTCAGAATTAACTGCCCAGCAGCCACAACCATAGTCACATTCAGGCCCCAACCCCTTCGGATGGTGACAACCATCCTGGTTTCCTCAGGGCTGGCTAAGGGGCTCATGGTTCACCGATCCAGGTCTAAGTCCCTTCCTAGGTCGTGATCTTTGTCCTCATGCTTCATGGTGGGCTGGACACCAGCTTGCCCTCAGTTCTGGACCCCTTATCTGAACTCCTGGTCACATGCACGTGGCCTCCCTGGCCCCTCATGCACCTCACACCATGATGGCTGTCTCGCCTCACTTCCTGGGCCCGTATGGGTCTTAGCATGAGCACCAGAGTCTATCCCCTGGCCCAGCCCAGGCAGCCAGGGTCGCTCCCATCCTCACCTCCAGGAGTGCAGTTCTGACGCATGCCCGGGGTAGTGTGTGTGTGTGGGGGGGGAGGGGGAGGACTTGGCATCTAAGCATATTCTCTAAGTCAAAATGACTTCAGCAGTTCTTGCCAGGCGTGGGAGTGTGTATGACTCATGGGTTTGGGAAGCTGAGGCAGGAGGACTGCAAGTTCAAGGCCAGCCTGGGCAATTTAGCAAGACCCGGTCTCCAAAAAGAGGATGGGCACTGAGGCCATAACCTCGCATGTTCAAAGCCCTGAGTTCAAACCTCAGACTCAGGAGCCGGAAGTGACCCTTGCTCTCTCTGCTGCTTGGCAGCATCGAGCGTGCTTTGGAGGGATAAAGGGTCTTACCGCTTTCTAGACAGATCTTGGAGGACAGCGAGAATTGGATGACATCAGGGGAGCTGTTTTCCAGCTGGTCATGGCTGGCAAGAGCTAGGGAAAAAAGGAGAATAGGAGGGAGACAGAGGAGGGAGAAGGCAGTGTTATGCTGGCATGTCAGCACAAAACCAAACCAAACGGTCAGTGTTTCATTTTGTTATTGTTGTTGCTGTTGATTTTGGAGACAGAGTCTCACTTGGTCACATAGACTGGCCTCAAACTCATGGCAGTCCTCCTGCCTCAGCCTCCTGAGTGCTAGAATTACAGAAGTGCACCACCACGTCCAGCTGTGGTCAATATCCTTACAGGACTGGACAAAGATTTCATAAATACCAATAATCACCCTTTAAATAGTCTCATAATTTGTTCTGGCGGTACCTCGACATTTTAACGGAAGACTTCTGCATGACCCCTTGATTTATGAAATGGTATTTCATTTGCGCTTCTGTCCTAGAGCTGCCCTTCTGCAGGACAGCGGGTGACAAGAATTCATGGTTCATCTTCTTGCCTTCTGTTGCATTGGGGTAACAGAAGCCTGCTGGTGCTTAACAAAAGGTGGCTCTCAAGGGAGGCCTGCAGTGAGTCAGGGCACAGGCTGGGCTCTCGGAGGCGTTCCGGGTCAGCCTGGACTGCACAGCAAGACTCGGGGCCCAGTCCCCCAGCGGAAGAAAGTATGAGGCTGTCTCTGTTTCCTTTGGATGTTATGGTTGCAAAATAACCTCAGGAACATCCCAGGAGGCAGAAGCTTCCTACCTACTTAACCTAGTAAAAAGTCCAATAGATGCCTTACTTAATGGAAACACTATCATTCCTGTATTTCTCTTCTAATATCCATTAATTACTTTTTTTTTCCTTTTGTCTTTTGAGACAAGTTCTCACTATGTAGTTCAGCATGGCCTTGAGCTCACTTTGCAGCCCAAGCTGGTCTCAAACTTGCAATGATCCTCCTGCCTCAGCCTCCCTAGTGCTAGGATCCATTGATTACTTGTTAGAATAATTAACACGCACCCACTGACACTAATACAGCATCTAACTTCCTAGTGGTTTGTATCCCGAATCACTGTTTGTAACTCTAACAGTAACTTCTACTCACAGAAGTTTCTCATCGACTTACTTGCTGGGATGTGGTCCTCTTGCCTGGCTTGATCGGGATGAGTTTGCTTACAAAAGCCTTCCATGGGTTCGCTGCTGGCCCTGCACTGCTTGAAGTCCTCAGGGGTCACAGGCTGGCCCTGCAGGCTGGGTGCTGGGCACTGTGGGGTGCCGGCCTCGAGGTCTGGCCAGCCATCGTCCACCAGGTTGGTGAGGCCCTTGGGCAGCGGGATGCCACGCCCTGAGTATCTCTGCAGCATGTTCTCGAGTTGGCCCAGCATTTCAGGAGCGATGCGTTTGTACTCATCAAAGTGGCACTTTCGCAGGTGTGTGCTGGAGGCTTTGGGGCTGGGTGGGAGCCTGACCAGACTGGAAGGTTCGGAGAGGTCAGCCGAGCAGCACTCGTATTTCTCACAGGAAGCTGCCATGGTCGCCGTGGCTTGCTTCGATCCTTCCCGATTTTCCTTTTTATGACTGAAAACAACACCGTGTGTGAGCGCTGGAGGGAGGTAGTGCACATTCTTCAAGCTTGTCACTTTGTTTGGTTTGTTTTTTTCAGACAGAGTCTCCTTATGTAGCTCAGGCTGGCCTTGGACTCCTGGAGATCCTCCTGCCTAGGCTTCCCAAGTCTTGGGATTACAGCACTATGCCACTTGCCTGGCTCTAGAAATCCATTTTAAAATGTGATCAATAAGAGCTGGGCAGGGAGTGGCACACATCGCTAATCCTAGCACTCAGGAGGCTGGGGCAGGAGGATCCTGTGAGTTCAAGGCCTGCTTGGGCTACACAGTGAGACCATCTCAGAAGACTAAAGCAAACAACAAAATGACCCAGAGTCTTGAGCAAGCTAAGCAAATGCTGTATCACTGAGCTGCATCCCCAGCCCCTGAGTTTCTTATGGGAGTCTACAAATACACTTTTAAAAAATTTATTTTGGAAAAACCACAACAAAAAGAATAAAAAAGGGCCAGGGATTTAGTTCAATGGCATAAGGGCTTGCCTGGCAAGCGCAAGGTTGAGTTCGATCCCTGGTACCACAAAAAAATATTTTATTTTGGTACTCTAGTAGGGTGGAAGGTTGAGGGGGGATTACTATTTGGTCATTGCCAACTAGAGACAGAAGGGAGGAAAAAACTCCCAGCAGCTGCTGTTGATGTTGGATTTGGGGGTAGCATCCGATTCAGTCATAAGGAAAATGGATTCAGTCTGCCTCTCTCCCTCTTTTCTTTTTTTTTTTTTTTTTTGTCTTTTTCGTTTTTATCGGTACCAGGGATCCAACTCACGACTGCCTGCTTGCAAGGCAGGCGCTTATGCCGCTGAGCTAAATCCCCAGCCCCTTCTCCCTCTTTTCAATAGCTCCTCCAGGTCTCTGCAGGATCATCTCCTGCTAGCGAAGATGTAGTGGTCAAAAACTGCATATAATAAACACATTTAATCCAAAAAAGAAAATCACATTCTAAAATGATGGAAAATGATAGTCCATGCAATCAGAACCCAGAAAAAAAGCAAAAGTAGTTATGCCAATTTTTTTTTTTTTTGATTTGGTACCAGGGATCAAACTCATGAGTTTGCACTTGCCAGTGAGGCAGTGTGCTGCTGAGCTATATCCCCGGCCCAAATTACACTAATTTAAGACAAAGTGGACTTCAAGCCAAAACTGATCAGTAAAGGCAAAGTAGGTCACTACATACTGGTCAAGGTAACAGTTCGACAAGAATGAATAACAATAATAAGTACATACGTACCAGACACTAGCACTCCCAACATCATGAAAGAAATACCACTGGACATAAAAGATCAGATTTTTTAAAAAAAGATTTAAAAAAATCAGATAAATATCATCATACATTTGAGGATGACTTCAGTAGCCCACTTTCATAAATAGATCAACTAGACAAAAAATGACAAAGAAATATCAGTGTTGAATGAAATCTTCAGGCAGATGCACTTAATAGATATCTACAGAGTATTTCGTTCGACAAAGGAATAAATCAGTCTTCATAAACAGTTTCTCAGCAGCATTTGGGCCTTTCTCCAAAGCAGTCCATACTAGCTCATAAAGCATGCTTCAGTAAATGCAAAAGAATCAAAATTATCCCATGTGGATTATCAAACCATAGTGAAATTCTCTCACCATGCACTAAAACAAGATCATAATAGATCAAAGATCTACATATTGGCACAGAAACATGTATTTTATTGCAAGATAAAATAAGTCTTGAAGACTCAGGCATAGGCAAGGACTTTCTAAACAGAACCCCAACTGCAAAAGAAATATGGTCAAGAATCAACAAATGGGACCATATCAAATTAAAAAGCTTCTGTCCAGCAAAGGAAACCAACAGAGTAAAGAAACAATCTACAGAATGGGAAAAAAAATTGGCCCCTTACATATAGACAGAGCTCTGTTACCTAGACTATATAGAGCTAAAAAAAAGAAAGAAAAGATCCTCCAAAATAAAAATATCCCATAAAAATAGGGCAACAAAAATGAATTTTCAGAAGTACAAATGGCCAATAAATACATGAAAAAATGTCCAGCATCTCTAGACATCGGAAAAATGCAAATTAAAACAACACTGAGATTTATTCTGACTCTAGAAAGAAGGACCATCACCAAAAAACTAAATAATAACAAACGCTGGCAAGGCTTCAGAAGAAAAGAAATCCTTCTATATCACTGGTGGAAACATAAACTAGTACAACCACTATGAAATCAGCATGGAAATTCCTCAAAAAATTAAAACTAGAAATTCCTTTTGACCCAGATATTTACCTTCTAGGTATCTTCCTGAAAAAGTTAAAGACTTCATATTACATGAATATCTGATACCTATCTTTGTAGTATAGCTTGTAATAGCTAAAATTTTAAGTGGCTTATATGTCCATCAACAGATGAATGAATAAAGAAAATGTGGTCTTTATACACAACAGAGTATCACTCTGCCACAAACAAGGATAAATCTGAGTCATTTGTAGGAAAATGGATTCACCTTGAGACCTTAATGTTAAATGAAATAAATCAGACACATAAGCTTAAACATTCCATAGTTTCTCTTATATGAGAAACTCAAAGTGTAAATAAATTAAAAAGTAAAATAAAAGGAAGATAATAGAAAACTGGGAGATAGATCTTTTGCAAACAGAAAGGGGACCAAAAGATAGAGGGCAGTGGGAACTCCTACATGTACCAAACCCCCACAGTGAACATAATTATGTGTACTAATAAAAAACCTTAATGAGGCCAGACATGGTGCCACATAGCTAAAATTCTAGTACTTGGGCACAATGAGTTCCAGGCCAGCCTGAACTACACTGCCAGAGCCTTCCCCAAAATCCAACAAAATGATAAAAACAAAAGTAATTGTAATTGGGGCTGGGGATTTAGCTTAGCAGCATAAGCGCCTGCTTTGCAAGCAGGCAGTTGTGGGTTCGATCCCCGGTACTGATAAAAAGGAAAAAGACAAAAAAAAGTAATTGTAATAACATTGAGTTAATAATAAAAAGTCTCATATTGCTGGGTATGGTGGCACCGGAGTGTAGGAGTGTAATCTTAGCTACTCAGGAGGCTGGGGCAGGAGGATGGTAACTTAGTAAGACACTATTCAAAAGAAAGCAAAAAAAAATTACAGAAGCTTAAATATCACACAGTTTCTCTTGTGTCAGAATCCCAAAGTATAAATGATTAAAGAGCAAACTAAAAGATAATAGGAAAACGGGCTGTGGTGGCAGTATGTGTGTAATGCCAGCACTCTGGAGGCTGAGGCAAGAGGATCGCTCTGAGTTTGAGGTCAGCCTCCACTACAAAGTGAGTTCAAGGCCAGCCTGAACTGCATATTGAAACCCTGTCTCAAAAAAGACACAAATAAATAAATAAACAAAATGAGGAAGAAGAAATGCAAGCAAACAACAAACAAAAAAGCCTGGGACTATAGCTTAACAATGCTGGGTTATGGGGCTGGGGATTTAGCTCAGCGGCATAAGCGCCTGCCTTGCAAGCAGGCGGTCGTGAGTTCAATCTCTGGTACAGATAAAAAGGAAAAAGACAAAAAAAAAAAAAAAAAAAACAATGCTGGGTTTTGGGTTTTTTGATACCAGGGATCAAACTCATGACCTTGTGCTTGTCAGTCAGGCGCTTTCCTTGCTGAGCTAAACCCCTGTCCCAATGGCCTTGGGTTTAATTTTCAGTTTGGGAGCAGGGTGGGATGGGGCTCTTGAAGGAAAGTCCAGGACCAGATGGCTTCACACTAAACATTTTAGCAACACCGATCGTTCTTAAATTAGTCCAAAATAACTGAAGAGGAGGAAATTATTCCAAACTTAGAGTGTGAACCTAACCTTAGTCTGATGCCAAAATTGGACAAAGACACAACCAAGAAAGCAAGCGACAGGCCACTACCCTTGATAAGTACACATGCAAAACCCTCACTAGATTACTAGTGAACAAAATTTAATGACGTACGAAAAAGACTATTCAACGTGATCAAGCAGGACACATCCCAGGACTGCAAAGATGGTGTCCTACATATAAACCTATGAACGCGATGCCTACTTAAACAGAAGGACAAAAACCATGTTTCCATCTCCTTAGGGCACGAAAGGCATTTGGAAACATTCAGCCCCTTCCTAAGAAAACCCTGAACACACTCGCCATCGAAGGCACACACCACAACATAACAAATGCCTGCTGAAAGAAGCCCAAAACTAACATCATACTGAGGTGAGAAAAGCTGAGGGCTTTCTCTCTAAGGCCTGGAACAAAACCAGGGCGTCCACTTCTGCGTTCTTCAACGTAGTTCCGGAAGACTCAGCCATGGCAGTCATCAGGCACATTTACCCAACAGTGCTGGGAGTCTGGGCCGGAGCAATTAGGCAAGACAAAGAAGCCAAAGAACATCCACGTTGGAAAGGGCGAAGTCAAACAGCCACGGTGTGGTTGGGAGGGAACAGACAGGGCAGCTGGAGGGGCGGGGAGGGACTTGGAAACTGGTGGTCAAGGAGGCCGGGCTGGAGGAGAGGACGTGGGCAGGGCTGGCGGGGTCAGACGGAAGTGTGGGTTTGGGCTCCGCGCAGCGGGAGCCAGCGAGCCGCTCGGGAGGGCCGGGAACAGGGCAATCACCGAGGCCTGAGCAGCCTTTCAAGCAGACGGAGTTGGGAATGCATTAGAAGACAAAAGACTGTCGAAGAGCGTCAACTGCAGTGTCCTTGCGAAAAGCTCTAGCAGCTTCCAAAAGACGTGGACCAGTGTAAACCAGGATTTCTCATTCTGACAGGATAATTCTCTGCAGGGCAGAGCTGTCCTGTGCATGTTGGATTGCGTCAACCTTAGACACCCTTGTGACTGACACACGTTCTAAGACGGTGCCATCGCAAGAATATGACCCGATCCCCCAACTCGAAGGTGTCACGTTAAAAGCCTGGTCCCCAGATTGGGCTGGAGGGAAATCAGGGAATCTCTAAGAGGCGAGATCTACGCGGAAGTCCCGAGGTCAAAGGCAGAAGTCCTGAAGTCAATGGCGACACCAGGTAGTTCTCGTGAAACCTCGTGAATTCTCGCGAGAGCTTTATTATTTTAAAAAGCACGAACCTGGTTCCTCCCTCCTTTTCCTGCCCTGGGTTTGAGATGTGATTCAACCTTTGTGTCCAGCATGGTGTGGTACAGCTCAGAAATGAGTCCATGCCAAAACCAAACCGTTGAAGCTCCAAACTGTGAAAGACACAAACTTCTTTATAACGTGAGCTGCCTCAAGTATTTCCTTGGCGTAATTGAAAGCAGTCTAATGTGGAGGGGCAAGGGATGTGGCCGAGAAATACAACTCTCACCTCGCAGGTGCAAGGTCCCAGGTCCAGTCCTCAACGCTGAAAAAAAAAGAAAAATACAGACAGGTTGGCGTCTTTTTATTTCCACTTCACAAGTAAAGAAGTTGTAGCAAATAACTGAGCATGGTGATGCACTCCCATAATGCCAGGCTCAGGAGGCTGAGAGAGGGGATCTCCACCAGCCCGGGCTGCATAGTGAGTTCAAGTCTGGACCGAACCAGCTGCAAGACCTTGTCTCAGAGGAAAAAAAAAAAAAAAAAACAAACTGTAGTAACCAGTGGGGGGAAAATGGAATGACTAGTTCCATTAGTTCATTTATCTTTGCTTGACGCATTCTGTGGCTGTTAATCACAGGTCTTTATTAGGCATATTGTATACACCACGCTGTGTTTGATAGAGAAGAGAGCAAGCGTATTAAAATTTCTGCCCTTATTACAAACACCATATTACAGGGATCCCTGCCTGCTCATGTTTATAGACACACAGCTCATTCTGGCTAAACCTCGGAAGCAGCCTATATAACCATGAATAGATGGATGGATAAAGAAAGGGTAGGCTTTATGCACAATGGAGCACTACTTTGGCATAAAAGATGAATTTGAATCATTTCTAGGAAAATGGATCCACCTGGAGACCATATTTTTAAAAAAATTTTTTTGGCCTTTTTCCTTTTTATCAGTACCGGGGATCAAACTCACGACTGCCTGCTTGCAAGGCAGGTGCTTATGCCGCTGAGCTAAATCTCCAGCCCCCATATTTTTAAAATTTTATTGGTATATTTTATATCTGCACAGTAATAACATCAGAGGGAATGCGAACCTATGTATGGTATATCTTGCTTCTTCTAATTAGGTTCCCCTCCTTTCAGCCTCTCTTTTCCTACTTATTTGTAGAAGCTTTGTTTCCATTTTTTTCCTTCTATTTTTTTCTTGTCTGTTGGGAGCCGCGGCCGAGCCCTGTCGCCTTACTTGGCGGACGTGAGGCCTGTAGGAAAGAGCAAAGCCTGAGCTAGATTACCCCTCCCATCGAGTGTGCTAAGATGGCGCTTATCTCCTGCTTGGTAAACAACCCGCCCTGTAAGATCTCCTGCTTCCTGCTTGGTAAACAACCCGCCCTGTAAGATCTCCTGCTTCCTGCTTGGTAAACAACCCGCCCTGTAAGATCTCCTGCTTCCTGCTTGGTAAACAACCCGCCCTGTAAGATCTCCTGCTTCACAACCCGCCCTGTAAGATAGTCTGCCTAGCAACAACTGATGTTAGCCAATCAGCCCGCATCGCGCGCTTTGAACTGATTGGCCACTGTAACCCTATAAAAGTGAGTGCCTCTCCCGCCACGAAAGAAGAAGCAGAAGAAGCACGCAAGGAGCCGCGGAGAGCGGACCGGTAGAGGCTTCGGGACAGACTGTAGGGAGAAGCACGCAAGGAGCCGCGGAGAGCGGACCGGTAGAGGCTTCGGGACAGACTGTAGGGAGAAGCACGCAAGGAGCCGCGGGGAGCGGACCAACAGAGGCTTCGGCCGGGAGGATTCCCGGGGCAGGCTGTACAGAGAAGGAAAATAAAAGAAAAGGTTGTCCACTGCCAGACTTTGTTGTGTGTCCTTCCTGCCGGCCGGGAGTGACACCGACACTTGTCTTTTCTTTCTCCCTCTCCCTCGTTACCCTTCTCATTTGAATATTCTCTTCTCATTTCCTAATGTCTGTTACATGTTTCGGTCCTAATTCACACTTTGGGTTTCTCACACCCGGAAATCAATGAAGTATTCATTCATTCATTCATTCATTTTTTTTTTCTCATAATTTTTTTTGTCTTTTTCATTTTTATCGGTACCGGGAATCGAACTCACGACCATCTGCTTGCAAGGCAGGTGCTTATGCCGCTGAGCTAAATCCCCAGCCCCTCATTCATCTTTTTGAGTCAGGGTCTCCCTATGTAGTTCAGCCTGGCCTTGAACTCTCAGTGATCCTCCTGACAGCCTTGCAAGTGGGATTACAGTTGTGTGCCACCACACCTAGGGTAAAAACGCAGTATTTAAATGTGTCCAATTTATTTCACCTAAAGAGTATGATCTATCAGACACACGTGTAAACATTGTATTGTCTCACTAGTGTGAGCTGAAAGAAACAGCATATGTATATGTAGATGTATATATGTATATAAAAATAGGGTAGTTATACTACTGATTTCTCTTAAGAGAAAGATTTGTGCTGGTAATGTTTGGAAAATTGAATGCAGACATCTTCAGCTCTGGGTGAATGATTTGGAGATGACAATGCACAACATATGTACCGTTGTTGCCCCCTGATTGACATGATTTAAAATTTTGTTTTATCCCATGGAACAGAATGGGGTAAAAAAAATATTCGTTTTATATTTTTCTGTTTTTATTCCTCTTGGAGATAAAATGGATTGGAAAACTTTAATTAAAAAAAGTATAGTGCCAAGGTGCATCCATTTAGGTATAAATGTCTCAAACTTACCCTTCTTTATCACAGAGTGGTACTCCCTTGTAGAAAAAACACATCTTTATCTATTATCAGCTCATGAGCATTTGGGCTGTTTCCAAGATTTAGATGTTACAAACTGTGCTGCTACAAAACACATGTGTGCATGTATTGCTGTGGTATGATGCTTTTAATTCTTTTAGGAAGATACCAAAAAGGGGAATAGCTGGATCCAATGGAACCCCTATTCCTATTTTTTTAAATGAATCTCCACACTGATTCCACAGTGGGTGCAGCTGCCTACACTTCGACCAACAGGATTTCTTATTGGTTGATTTCTTAAAAATACCCATTTTTTTTTCTGGAGGTGGAATGGTGTTGATTTTTTTTTTTTTTGTCTGTTAGAAATAGGGTTTCATTATGTCATTCAGGTTGGCCTTGAAATCTTTTTTTTAATTTTTGGAATGGGATCTTACTCTGTAGTCCAGGCTGGCCTTGAACTCACTATGTAGTGCAGGGTGACCTTGAATTCGAGGTGACCCTCCTACCTCAACCTCCTAGTTGTTGGGATTATCGGAATGCGCCACCCTGTCCAGTTTTCATGGCCAGATTTAAATGGCAACACCTTGGTGCAGTTGTTTGGGGGATGAGGAATGGGGAGGCATTGGTCTTGAACACTGTATAAGCCTTTACAAATATACATTAATACCAAAAGTTGAAAAGTAAGTACAAATGTTTTATCCATACTTTGCGAACAGGTGGGAGAATTGGTCTTCATATGTTTTCTTTCTCCATTTTTTCCTTTCAGGCTTCCACTAAAATGAAAGAAAAGTTTGTGATTAAAACATAGGGAGGAGCTGGCTGTGGTGGTGCATGCCTGTAATCTGAGTTTTTGAGAGGCTAAGGCAGCCTGAACTGCACAGCAAAACCCTATCTCAAAAAAAAAAAAAAATTAGGGAGGAACTGCTGGTCAAAATTGATTTAAAAACAATTTTTTTTGCAGACAAGGTCACACTATGTAACGCAGGCTGGTGTTGAACTTGCTGTGTAGTCCAGGCTGGCCTTGAACTCACAGTGATCCTTCTGCCTCAGTCTCTAGAGTGCTAGGACTACAGGTGTGCACCAACGTGCTTGCCAAAAATGAATTCCTTTTTAAAAAAGTATCATTTGGTGAAATACAGTAATGTGATTACCTGGTCAAAGAAATAGAGGGGCCCGATATCCAAAGATGTAGCTTTAACAACTCCTTCCATCCTACCACCGGACCTAAGAAGAGAAATTGAAACTTTGAAGACAAGGTATGGTATCATGTCTGCAGGTGATATTGCCAAGCACTTGGTGGTTTTAAAGTTTAAATGTTTTATGTGCAGTGAAGTGCAAAAAAATTTTTAAAAGGGGATGAACAGAGTTGCTTCTCTTCCTCCTACTTCGTTTCTGGGACTGTTGACCTGATGAAGACACAATCGGGGTGACTGACCCCTGGTGGCAAAATAATCATCGCGCGCACCGGGGGCGAGGGGATTCCTTACGGGAAAGAACTGCTGTGGGGATGTTTAGTAGCAGCAACCCTGGCCTCTACTTCCCAAGTGTCAGGTTCTATCTTTCCCAGAGAGGTGACAGCCACAGATTTTGTCAACTGGCCTCTGGTGTCATGGTTTGTGTCAGGATGTCCCCTGAGAGCCCCGTGAACCGACAGGCAGAGCTTGGAGGAGGTGATTGGATTGTGGAAACTTATAGCGGATTTGCTGTCAGGAGGCGGGGCCTGTCATCGGGGCGTGGCTTTCAGTGGAGGGCGGGGCCACACAGTTACCTGGCTCCTAGGTGCCTCCTTTGGTTCTCTGCTTGTGGCCACCTAGAGCTGAGCAGCTCTCCTGCCAGGTGCCCCTCTGCCTTGGAGCCAGCTAACTGTGGACCACATCCCCTCCAAATCTAAGCTGAAATAAATGTCGCCTCCTTTAAACGGCAAGTGTTGGGTATTTTATCCCAGCGACTTAAAAGTGATTAAGACACTTAGAGATGAAAATCATTCCTGGCTCACACTGTACACTGGCCAAAAAAATAAAAATAAATAACTGAAGTTTGTTGGGAAGGACTTACCTGTCTGCCAGGCCTCCTAGGGGAATCCTGTTGAGCTCGGACCAAGTTTCTGAAGCTTGGCCCCAAGGGTCGCCCTGACTAAGCAAGCTGCAAAAACCACTCCTTGTGACTGGAGGGACCCCTGGCGCTGGCTTCCCCACAGCCACAAAGCCTCATGGGTTTGCTGTGGACACAGGGGAGGACTGAGCAAGTGCAGGGGCATTGAAGGACAGGGCTACATGAGGCCAGAGGGTCACTCGCTGTTATAATTATTAACAAAGGCAGCTTTTTGAGGCTCAGATAGGCCTGGCCCTCTTTATGGAGTAGAGGAATGTCTTTGGGGGTGAGGGAACAGCAAAAGCTTTTGTATACCTGAATACCCATCTTTCTTTGGGAGTAGAGAAGAAATATCTTAAAAAATGTATACAGGGTTTCAAGTGATGTCATTGTCAGGGCCAGGGATATAGCTCTGTGGAACAAACTCCTGCCCAGCAAGTGCAAGTCCTAAATTCAATTCCCAGTCAAAAAACAAAGCAAGACACCAACTTAGTTTTATAGCCAGGGATATAGCTCAGTGGCATAAATGCCCACCTGGCAAGCACAAGGTCCTGAGTTCAATTCTCAGTACCAAATGGTCATCATCATCTTGAAACAGAGCAAGTCCCGAGGCAGTGTGGGAAGAAAAAGGAAGAATAATTATGGGAAAATATCAGAAGAACAGTTCTAGTCATGAAAAGAAAGGAACAGTAAAGGACAAAAGGCTGGAGCTCTCAAAACTCAAGCATTGAGAACAACAGACTCATCAAGAACAAATAATAATGCTGGGCATGGTGGCACACATCTGTAATCCCAGGACTCAGAAGGCTGAGGCAGGAGGATCACAAATTTGAGGCCAGCCTGGGCTGTATGGTGAGACCTTGTCTCAAAAAAAAAAAAAAAAAGTGAAGTTTATGGTAAGTGAATTACCGTATTTTAAAAAAAGGGTCCAGGATGGAGAATATAGTTTGGTGTCATGAGCACTTGGCTGGCAAGCACAAGGTTGTGAGTTTGATTCCCAGGACCCAAAAATAAAATTAAAAAAGGATCCAATGCAGCTGGGTGTGGTGGTACACTCCTGTAATCCCAGCACTAGGGAGGCTGAGGCAGGAGGATCATTGCAAATTCAAGACCAGCCTGGGCTACAAAATAAGCCTAAGGCCAGCCTGAACCGCATAGTGAGACCCTGTCTCAAAAGGACAGGGCCAGGGATATAGCTCCTCCCTCAAAAGGAGGAGACATAAAAACATAAAAAAGGATCCAGGAGCTTCAGTCAGTCACCTTCCCTCCTCCAGCCTGGGGACAGCAGTGGCAGCCATCAGGTCCTCAAGGCCATCAGAGTGCTGGAACAGCACCCGCCTCTGGCTGCCCAGCCTCTGTGAGTGTGGATAGCTGGCTCCGAACCCGGAACCGCTGCGGGCCAGCATTCCGCTCAGAACCTGGAGAGCAAGCCCTGTGTTCCATCAAGATTCCCTCTGTTGCCTTCAGTCACTGCCAACAGAAGGTTGGCATTCCGGGAAGGGGCAGGGACAGGAACAGAAGGAAGCTGCATCGTATGTGCCTAGTGACTCCCTGTGAGGAATGTAATCATGATGTGCAGCAAACATGTATTAGTAAAGATAAAATCAAGATTGGAGATTCTGGATCAAGGTGGCCAGCACATTGGGCACACTCCTATAATCCCACACTGGAAGGCTGAGGCAGGAGGACTGCTGTGAGTTCAAGGCCAATTTGGGTTACAAAGAGAAATGCTGTCTCAAAAATGAAATAAACAAAACCTCTCAAAAAAAACCTCTACACAAGTAAAAAGTGAACAAATGATCTAGAAGCATTGGTTGTTTCGAGACAGGGTCTCACTACATATTTCACAGCTTTGAAGTCACTATGTAGCCCAGGCCAGCCTTGAATTTATGGATCCTCTTGCCTCAGCCTCCTGATTCTGGGATTACAGTCTCATGAGTGCTGAGACCACAGGCCTGCGCCACTACGCCCAGCTGGAGGTATCATTAAACTCAGAAAAGAAGACCCAGCATGGAGTTCACTACATCCGACAGTCGGCAATGGTTAGGGTCACTTGAAGCATCAGAAATTCCCATTTCTAAGGACACAGTCGTGATATCTTACATGTTTGGAGGTCAAGGGATTCCAGGATTTCTCAATTCAGCAGCTGAATAACGTCACCAAGGGGCCCAAGGACTGCATGTTTCTGTTCTGTGCTCTTCAGATTTCATCCTGTCATTCCCACACTTGCAAATACCTAATGACGTGAAGGAATCTGTGTCTTCTTTTGGCTTTTCTTTCTTTCTTTTTTTGGCTTTTATAAAACATAGGAAACCTTTTCCAGAACTTCTCTGTGGTTTACTTCCCTGTATCATTTAAAATTGCAGCACGTGAACATGCCTCAGCAAACCACTAGCAAGAGGTTGGAACTAGAATTCCTGTACATTAGCTTAGTCTCCAGTTAAGGACAGGCTCCCCAGCTGGACCTGGTGGTGTACGCCTGTGGTCCCAGCAATCACGAGATAGAGGCAGGAGGATCACTGCGTGTTTGAGGCCCGCCTTTGCTACATAGTGAGTTCAAGGCCAGCCTGAACTGCATAGTGAAACCCTGTATCAAAAAAACAAAAACCAAGCCTGCAAACAAAGGATAGGTTCACTCAGTTAAGTGAAGAATAAAAAAATTGGATAAGGCATTCAGAAAAGGCAGCAAATGTGTCACTTTATTGAAGTTGGTGGCACACACCTGTGATTCCCAGCACTCAGGAGGCTGAGGCAGGAGGATTGCCACAGACAAATTAGAGTTTGGGTTGGTAAAAAGGCTTTCATTGGACCCCAAGGATAGGGAAAAAAGGTCTTCCATATCCAAAATTTTCTGGGTTCTCTTTTTTATATAAATAGGGTGTTGGGAAGGTCATTCTAGCAAACCTTCAGCACAATACATTTAAACAGTTCTATCAGTGTGGTTGCCTCTTACATGTAAATGAAGGATCAGAAATGGTGTCTTTTGATTGGCTGTGGCTGCATGGAAATGAAGGATCAAAAAGAACATCTTTTTTCTTTCTTTTTTTTTAAAGGTTTTTTTTGGTACTGGGGATCAACACCTCAGTGCCCTTATGCCACTGAGCTAAATCCCCAGCCCCTTTAAAAGTTCTTCTAAGACATAGTCTCAATATGTAGTCCAAACTGACCTTCAACTCTCAAGGACTATCCTGCTTCAGCCTCCCAGTGCCGGGATTACAGGGGAGCAGCACACATCATTCTCACCAGATGTCGAAGACAAACCAGCAGCAGGCCAGAAAAAGATGTGTGTAACGATTTCCACGCTCAATCAGCCTCTGTATGTGGAGGTGGTCTACACAGAGATTATGGGGGAAAGCAACAAAGTTCTACTATTGTTAGATATCTAATTATCCTCCAGTTTCAAAGGAGATAATAACATATTATACGCGCAAAGATAATTTAAGATGTCATTGGATAATTAAGATAAGGAAAAAATTACAGTGTGCCAGACGTAATGTCAGGACAGCCCTCTCCAGAACGAGAGAAGATCGAAAGCCACCAATGAAAGGGTTTGAGGCCAGACATGGTAGCACATACTTGTAATCCCAGCACTCAGGAGGCTGAGGCAGGGGGATAACTATGACTTTGAGGCTATCTTGAACAAAAATGGTGAATTCAAATTCAGCCTGAACTACATAGTAAGACGTTGTCTCAAAAATCCCAAAACAAACACAAAAGGAGCTTGAGGTGTTCTCTGGCCCTTGTGCAGGACAGGGCATTCCAATCCCTTGTATCATTTTCTTTCTTGATCAGGATCTTGCTATAAATTGCAGGCTAGCCTCAAACTCAAGGCAGTCCTCCTGCCTCAGCCTCCCAAGTGCTGGGATTATAGGCATGAGCTACCATGCCTGGCTTTCTTGTATCATTTTTTGATATCTTCTAACAAAATTGCTCTTGTGGTAAATTCTAGTGGGCAAAATCAATGATCTCTTTTGGGACTTTTTCCTGTTCAGTCTTTCTATAGCAGTGATGTAGTCAGCCAAATTTTATTTCACAGAGTGTTTTCTCCCCTTACTTCCGTGTGATTATTCCCTGAAGCATTTTCTTCCTTCTTCTTTTTATGGCAGTCCGTAATGATTCTGCATAATGATCCCTCTGGGGAGCTGGTATGCGTGGGGAACACATCTTTATTTCCTCTCCATCCCTTTCTCTTCCTGCTCCTGCCCCCAGCATTTTCTCTTTCTTCCTCCTCCTTCCTCTTCATCTTCTTTTTAGAGAGAGTGTCACTATGTAGCCCAAGCTGTCCTCAAACTCAAGGGAACCCCCCTGCCTCAGCCTTCTGAGTGCTGGCATTGCAGGCCTGCACCAACATGCTTGGCCAGCATTTCTTCTTGTCTTCTATTTCTTTGCAGAATCCACCCCAGAATTTACCAGCCTTCCCCCAAACAAAACTCCCAAAATATGAGCATCCCTTGAGTGGTGCTTGGTGCCAGTCTCTCCCCCCAGCACCTGACAAATGCACTTGGGATCCTGTAATTCTCTGGTCACATTTCTGATGCCCCCTCATCTTTACCTGGAGGCCCTGCAGGCAGGGTACTTAGAGGGCAAGGAGCTCCATCTTTTGGCCCACCCGGCCTGGCCCCTCCATCCTGTCTATGGCAGGAGCTGCTCTCTCTGCAGGAGCCAGAGCCAGAAACCCAGTGTCCCCAACACCTCTCCCACGCACCTGCAGCAGGGCACAAAGGTCTCTGCATTCCCAATAAGAAGTGTTTCTGCCCTCCGCCCTCAGTTCCGTGTGTGTTTTCATCAGTATTTTTTTTCTTTTTTTTGTCCTTTTTATCGGTACCGGGGATCGAACTCACAACTGCCTGCTTGCAAGGCAGGCACTTATGCCACTGAGCTAAATCCCCAGCCCCCCCAATTTAAATTTAAATACCCATAGTCCAATATCACCTTGAAGGCTTACAATGCAAAGCACACTTCTCAGGGCCTCTTACAATTTGGCACAATTTGCTTTCTCCCCAGCCATCCTCTCCTAAATGCTGCATATTTCACACTAGTGGTTCTCACCAGAGCGATTCACTGGCTCTCAAGACATTTGGCGATAATCATGCCACAGACGTAAGCCCCCCCCCCCCCTGGAGTTCCAGCCCCCAGTGAGTCTGCAAGACAGGTGAGAGGTCTCTCGGGAACTGCTCCTGCTGCAGCGTGAGCTCCGACTCCAGGGCTCCAGGACAGGAAATCACAGCTGTCATTCAAGGCCCAGCCTTCAGTACTATGCTTGGCAGCCAGAACTGACTGGCACCCTCTGGGAACAGTTCTGGCTGCCACACCTACGGCAGGGGGAAAGGGTGTTACTGATGGAGGCGGGCAGCAATGCCATTTTGTAAGCAGAATAAGCCCAGCACGAAACGGAAAACCAGCCTGCCACCAATGGCACACCCCAAGCTGCAGACACCTGCAAGTCTTTCTTGGACAGTTCTTCATCTCCGAAATCCCTTGTCATTCTTCATATTCAACAGGGTCTCTTTTGTTTTGTTGTCTTTTTGAGGCAGGGTCCCACTATGCAGCTCGGTCTGGCTTTGAACTCATTTTGTAGCCCAGGCTGGCCTGGAACTCACAGTGATCCTCCTGCTTAAGCCTCCCATGTGCTCGGGTTACAGGTGTGTGCCCCCGAGCCTAGTTTCAAGGAGCTTTGGGCAATAGTTTCAGCATCAAGGGTGGGTTGTGGTTCCTCCTGAGGGCAGCTGCATCCTTCCCCCAACCTGAAAATCTTTTAGCTGTCTTGAAAGTCCCTCAGCTTCTTGCTAGATTACATCAGAATAGAACATAAAATGAATTAATAAATGTAAGGAAAGTATTAACACTTTATATTTCATTTCATTTCTTTTTCTTTTGGTCTGAGACAAGGTCTTGCTATGCAGTTCAGGCTGGTCTTGAACTCATTTTGTAGCCCAGGCTGGCCTCGAACTCACAGCAATCCTCTTGCCTCAGCTTCCAGAGGGCTGAGATTACAGGCCTGTGCCATTATGCCGGGCTTCTCTTTGTTTTTTTGAGACAGAGTCTTGCTGGGTAGTTCAGGTTGGTCTCAAAGTTACTGCGATCCTCCTGCTTCTGCCTCCCAAATGCTGGAATTGTAGGTATTTGCCACTATCCCCAATTTACATGGTAGTAAATTTATCCTTAATAGTACTGTTGATTGATTACTGTCATATTTTGTTGGTTGGCTCCACGATGACAAGGACTGTTTTTGTCTCTTTACATTGCTAGATCTGGGCACACACTGGTACGGAGTGGATGGGTGAAGGAATGAACAGTAAATGTGCCAGGCAAAGAGCAGTCCAGATAGGAGGAACAGCAATGCAAACACTCCCAGGTCAGAGGCACACCGAGCTGGCGCTGTGAAGAGGGTGGAGAGACCAGGGAAGCAGGTCAAGGCCATGTCATGCTGGGCATATGGAAAGGATTTTGGATAAATAGTAGCTACTTTTTTGATGTGGTTTTTGGTTCATTAATTTTGATACTGCTGAGCCGGGTATGGTGGCTCACACCTGTAATTCCAGCACTAGGGAAGCTGAGGCAGGAGGATCGTTTCGAGTTTTAGACCAGCCTGGGCTACAAAGTGAGCTCAAGGCCAGCCTGAACTGCATAGCGAGACCCTGTCTCAAAAAAGACAAACAACAACAACAACAACAAAAAACCCCAAAACAACTTTGATATTGCCAGCTAGCAACCAGTGAGAGCAATTTGAAATCTGTTTAGAGAAAAATAGAAACATGCAGAAGACAAGTGGTTTTCAGTAGGATTGGCTGTCTGAACCTTTGAGATAGATAACACGTTTTTTTTTTTTTTTTTCTTGTTTGGTGCTAGGGATTCAACTTAGGACCCTGCATGTGCTGAGCCTGTGCCCTATGGTACCATTGAGCTACAGTCCTAGCCTCTGAATACTGCACTTTATGTGACTATGGTCAGAGCCAGTGTGAGTTTTAGTATTAAGCCACTAGCAAGGAAGCCCTTGCGCTGACGAAGTAGTTTCTAGTTTAAAGCTAACGAAAACACTTAAACTCTGGAGGTGAACAAAGTTGCGTGTGCAGTAGATATTGAGGTTGGCCAATCACAGCCTCCCAAATCTCAAACTGCAGTTTAAATACCAAGCTGTCTCATAAAAATTAAGTAAAGACATAGACAAAATTTGAGCCCAGTATGGTAATCCACACCTGTAACCCTAGCACACGGGAGGCTGAGGCAGGAGAATCACAAAGGCCAACCTGGGCTACACAGTCAAATCCTGTTTTAAACAGTAACAAGCAAAAGTCAGTTGCTCCTAAATCCAAAAGAAAGGGGATAGAAAAATAGATAATTGCATTGTGACCTTTTGCATTAATGAAGAGGCCGTGTCCCCAACTAGAAGGCCTGTAATTCTGGTCATAACTGGAAAAGAGGGGTGTGTGCAGAGAGCCCATCTGAATCATCCGAGGTTTAGAGTACAATATGGGAAACACGGGATTCCATCTTCCAAAATTATCTCAAGTGATGAGACAGCCTCACCCTGATCTGTGGCTGTGCATAGCTAAGCAGTTCTTGTGAGTCACAACACTGGGATGTAAGTGAACACAAACTTTAGTTCCCCTCCCGGCTTAATATACGCAATTTAATGTCTATTAATTGTTTATGCTTTGAGACAGGGTCTCGTTATGTCGTTCAGGCTGGCCTTGAACTCAAGGTGATCCTTCTGCTTCAGCCTCCCAAATTTCAGGATTATACGTGTGCACCGTCCACCCCCCCCCCCCCCCCAGTTTTTAAAATACGATATACAAAGCCAGGCATATTAAATGTTTTTGCTCCTGCCAAAACACCCCTCCTCTTGGAGGCAGGTTTCTGTATTTTACTCTGGAACTGAAGATCGCCTTTTAAGGTGACACCAGGCGGACTGAAGCACAGCGAATGTAAGAGACACAGCAAGACTAGCGTCTCCCCAGCCGACCTCACTCTTAAGGCAGCCGGCCACCGAGACGGCATCAACCCGGGCAGAAGGTCGCCGCCGAGTCCTCCGCCGTCCCAGCATTCCTCGCACCTTACCATCGAGAGCGACTTCCGGCGTCGTGGGGGAGGTGGCAAAGAAGGAGCGGGCCCTCGCCGCACCGTCTCGCTCCCTCGCGCTCTCTCCGGCATCATGGCGGGTGTGGAGGAGGCAGAGGCCTCCGGGAGCCACCTGAATGGCGACCTGGACCCAGACGACAGGGAAGAGGGAGCCGCTTCTACAGCTGAGGAAGCCGCCAAGAAAAAGAAACGGAAGAAGAAGAAGAGTAAAGGGGCTGTTGCAGGTAGAGACTTCGGTTTGCCCGGTTCCTGGCAGGAATGGCCGAACGACTAGCTAGGCTTAGGGCCTGCGGGGGTGGCAGAGACCGGAGACCCCGAGCCCCGGACTAGATGAATTCCCAGGCCTTAGTTAAGAGAGTGGCAAGGCAGGGCTAGAGATTCTGCCCTGGGGACGGAGGGCTTCTCCCCGCGGGACTGGGGGGTCGAGAGGGACCAGGGTGCTTCAGCTTCGACATGGTGGCTCCGGGGTCGCTGTCCCCCCCCCCCCCCCCAGGTCGCCAGAACTGAGTTCTGCGCATGCCGCGACGCGGACCCAGAACCATTCGCGGAACCCAGCTCCCAACCATCTTCCGCGCGGTTTGGGCGCTTTAACAATCTGATTCTGACCGCACGGCCGCCCCTGCTGGATCCACCTGCGCCGTGTTGCCCTCGCGTCCTGCCCCACCGCACCCCTCCCCTTGGTTTTCATTGGGGGGTTTTGTGTAGGGCTGCACCGTGCGGGTGGATGTCTGCCCTCGCGTTCCTGTCACTGAGAATTGGCGATGTCGGTTTTCACCTGCCTTGTCCCACAGCATCGCCCAGCCTTACAGCCTTCAGCCTGAGTTAGGAGGCCGCTTGCAGGCCGCGCAGGCAGGGGATTTTTTGTGGCTCCCAATGAAACATCCAAAGCAGTGACGTCTAAGTCCTTTAGTAAGACAAGGAAAGGCGCTAAAAGTTTACAGTTGGATCATGTTATGAGCTAGGGATTTATTTTTGAGAAGTCATTTTTGTTGTTGTTGAACAAACTATTTCATTTTAGGAAAAATTTTTAAAAAAATCTGTGTCTAATAAAATCAGTCAGGAAAGAATAATGGAGCAGGTAGAAGTGATTAACATGGAGAGAGGTTGGAGAAGACTAATGTACTTCTTACTGAAATTTTGATTAGATGGGAGTGGAAGAGGGAGAGTTGTAGTTTTGCTGGGGCTGTCCTAGGCCACACAGTGGTGGCTGTTGTGGCTTTTGCATGAAATCCAAGATCTGTGCTTGGTCCCCTGAGGTATGCAGCAGGCTGATCCTTCTACGTTTTGATTGGTTGTGTCTTTGTGTGAATCCAGAATGGCGCTGCTTTATGTGCTTGCCAGGATCTCGCTTTCTTAACTTCACATTCTACACTTTGCACATTGCTTCAGCTAAGCTGGGTTGTAGTCACTTCCAGAGTAAAAGGGCCTTGGTCCTTGGTAATTTCAGGATTTTCTGTTTTTCTTCTGAGGGTTGAACCTTGGGCCTCCCATTTGCTGAGCATGTGCTCTACCACATCTCCAGCCCTTTTTAACTGTATCTCTTTTGCCAAGGTCTTGCAAAATTGCCCAGGCTGCTTGAGCTTGCCATTCTCCTGTCTCAGTCTCTTGTGTAGTTGGGACAAGCCAGCAGCTGGGATTTCATGTGCATACCACTGTGCCCAGCTAAGAATTCCAATTTTAATAATGGGCTGTCTTTCCTTAGCCTGATTTATCCAACGCGTCCTAAGACTTCTTTCTTCAAGAAACTTCGAGCCTTACACATGAATCCTGTGCATTAGGCCTCAGTAATGGTAGCTAATCTTAAGTATCTGGTAGTTAAAATATTTAAGTTATCTAACTATTGAATACTTTTAAGGGTAGGAATCAATTCACATTTAATTGTTTACTGCCTAGCATACATAATGGATAACATGTTGAATGAATTAACAAATGGACACTATTACTTGTATATGAAAGATTGCTGGCTTGCACCACTGGTACATGTTCCGTGCATGTTCCATCCGACAGTGGTTCAGGCCACCCAGCAGTGAGACAGATGTGGTGAACATTCACAGTAATGGTCCTATTTTGGTTTCCCGAGCCCTTTTGTGATAAGAATTTGTAAATTCTTCAGGGCAGAATTGGATTGTTGGGACATATTCTAGTGGGAAGGTGTCCTTTTTACATTTGCTTCTGTTTTATGTGATCTGCAGGGCAGCAAGAACCTGATAAAGATTCAGGAACCTCTGTGGATGAGGTAGCAAAACAGTTGGAAAGAGAAGCATTGGAGGAAAAAGAGAGAGATGACGATGATGAAGGTGAGTGACTAGCTTGGTGCCTGCGATTAGCAAAGACAGAAAATGTGACAGCCTTTTAACAAAATCTGTGTGTTTGCCCATGTAACCTAGTCTGACATTTTACTTGTCCAGTTACTAACAGTTAATAGCACAGATAAAAAGGAAAAGGTTCTCATTAGCAACTTTTAAAAAAATGATGGCAACCTTTCACGTTTATTAAAGATAGGAGAGGACCAGAAGGATAAGAGAAAACAGGTTCCATAGTGTGAGTTTGGGCAGAGTAAAAAGGAAGGGAAAATTAAAAATCCAGGTGTGGTGGCTGTAATCCCAGCATTTGGGAGAAAAGAGGAAGTTTGAGGCCAGCCTGGCTACATAGCAAGCTCTGGGCCAGCCTGAAGGACGTATAGCAAAACAAACAAAATACACCCCATGATCTCAGAGGGCGATTGTGAAGAGGCACGTTAGCCACAGCTTCTTAGAAGTTGGATGTGTTGAATAGTTGCCAGACAGCATAGATCTCCACTTTGCAAAATACATTTGGTGCAAGGCCAAGTCGTGGGTGAGTATTGACAAGATAAAATTGAGGGACTGTTTAACTACTGAACAGCCAGTAAGTAGTAGGTACTTTGATACATGCATTCATTGTAAGCTCGCCACACCAAGTGGAGGTGATAATCTCACTTCACAGACGTAGCAGTGGTTATGTGAGTTACTTTATGTGATACAGCTAAATACACGTGAAATAGAGCCAGAATTAGAAGCTGTTTTCAGATTCTAAGTTTCTTTTGTTTTCTTTCTTTCTTTCATTCTTTTGTTCTTTCTTTCTGCAGACAGGATCTGGCTATGTAGCTCAGGCTAGCTTTGAACTGTGTATCCTATGCCAACCTGATACTCTTAGTGATCCTCCTGCCTCAGCCTCCTGTGTGCTGGGATTACAGGCAATAAAAACTGATACAGAATTTCAAAGTAATGGGAGATTAACAATGATTAATACATTGTATATTGTTATCTTCAAATTAGTTGTTCAGATGACAAGATATAGGCATAATCAAACAGTATAAGCCCAAACTTTTCTTTTCAACGAACTAATAAAAATGAGTAGTGCAGTTACCTAAATTATCTTGTAGTGTGTATTTTTTTCTTTTCCCTTCCTTCTTTTCTCTTTTCCCCCATCCCAGTTGTTCTTTTGTTTTGAGTAGTTTCTTCCCATCTCACAATATCTACATATATTTTGGATATTATTTGCTCTTCCAGTTTCTTACACAAGGGAGACAATTTGATGTTTACATGTGTGAGTCTGATTTTACTTATGAGTATGGTCTCCAGTTGTATCCATCTTTTTATGGCTGAGTACTACTCCATTGTATAAAAACACCATGTCTTTTTTTAATCCGTTGTATGGTTGAGGAGCATTTGGGTTGTTTCCAGAATCTAGCTATTGCGAATTGTGCTGCTATAAGCATAGGTGCACATATGTGGTATGATGTTTTTAATTCTTCTGAGAAAATAGCCAGAAGGGGAATAGCTGGTTCAAATGGGACCACTAATCCTAGTTTTTGAGGAATCTCCACACTGATGTCCAAAATGGTTGTATCAGTCTATACTGCACCAGCAGTGGGTGAGGGTTCCTTTCCCCCACAGCCCCACCAGCATTTGTTAATGGTTGATTTCTTTCTTTCTTTCTTTTTTTTTTTTTGGTAACGGGGATCGAACTCATGACCTTGCACTTGCCAGGCAGGTGCTTATGCCGCTGAGCTAAATCCCCAGCAACTGGTTGATTTCTTGATGGTAACCATTCTTTTTGGGGTGAGACAGAATCTCAGTGTTGCTTTCTTTGTTCTTAAAGGACCACACTGGAGCACTTCTAAACTCTTAGGCTATGAATTCCCAGCTCCTTGTGGATTGAGTGCCATAACATTTGCTGTACTTCTCTCTGCCCCTTCTTGTCTCTCTCTTTCTCATTGCTCTCCCTCCCCGGGGCCTTTGCACTGAGCTACATGCTGCACCCCATCTTTAGTTTGGAGGATGGGATCACACCATGTAGTTGAGGCTGGCTTTGAACTCATTAGTCAGAGTGGCCTCAAATTCGTGGTGATCCTCCTGTCTCAGCCTCCTGAATGCTGGGATCACAGGTGTGTACCACCATGCCCAGCTCTGCAGACTGTCCTCGCACAGGAGGTAATGGGGCCTGCCATGTTGTGAGTTTGTAGTTAGCTGTCTGCTGCCAGGACCGGTGGCCCCATTCTCACTCCATCAGCCAGGGCTTGTGCTTTTCAGCCAGCAGCAGGGCTGTGCTTTCATTTCTGTGCCGGGTTCATGCGCAGGGTTGTTTTCCCTTTGGAAAGATGTGTTCTCTGTCTTCAAGACGCTTGCAGTCTGCTCTGGTGGGAAAGGTGCCAAGATGGAAAGGAATCACTAGCTTTGGTCTTGAGCAGACCTCTTTGCCCTTGCACCTTCCCTCCGTGCTTTACATTGGGCTTCTATTTTGAGGTCTGAACGAGCTGGGGCTGGTAATCTCAGGGTGAACAGGTGGAGAGTGTTGCTGGGCAGATCTTGAAGTGACCTGGTTCCACTTCACCTTTGCAAAGTTGCCTGTCTCTCTTGAGATTGAAAGGGACAAATTCCAATAGTGTACCTCTCAGAACTAGTGAAAGCAGTCCTGAAATTGATCTGAAACCAGGAGAGACCTAGAATAGCAGAAAGAATCTTGGGCAGCAACGGCAAGGTGGGAGGCTTCACCATCCCCAACTTGAAATCACCAAAAAAAAATCCCTGCCGCAAGGGC